GGGAGGGCTTTGGGTGTGTAGGAAAAGCCAGAAAATACCAATACTTTTTGAGTTTTGTAAAAAAAAACTACAGTGGGGGGGTCAAATAGACCCCCCCCCCCAGCAGGAATAGGGTTAAAGGGAATAATAACCCAAAAGGGAATTTGACCTCCATTTTACATATTGACTTGAGATTTTACATAACACAATTTAAAATAAATATGTTTGGTATAAAAAAGAAATATTTTTTTAAAAACTTGCCTTTACACATGACCTTAAAACATGCAGGCAATTTTAAATTGTCCCAAAAAAAATAAAACATAAACATTAGTTTTTAACCAATCCTTGATAAATTTCAATAGGATTTCTTTTTCCAGTTGGGAATTTCATTGGGTTCACATTCATAATTAACACAACTTATTATTCTATCAACAATAAAAGGGACTGTGAGTAGACATAACATCAAGTAAATCTTCATTTATAGAGATTTATAGAGTGGAATATCAAATAGTTGCACCCTTTAAAGGGACTGTGAGTATACATAACATCAAGTAACTCTCCATTTAGAGATTCATAGAGTGGAATATCAGATAGTTGCACCCTTTAAAGGGACTGTGAGTAGACATAACATCAAGTAACTCTCCATTTATAGAGATTTATAGAGTAGAATATCAGGTAGTTGCACCCTTTAAAGGGACTGTGAGTATACATAACATCAGGTAAATAGTTGCACCCTTAACAAGGGACTGTGAGTAGACATAACATCAAGTAACTCTCCATTTAGAGAGATTCATGAAGGGGAATATCAGATAGTTGCACCCTTTAAAGGGACTGTGAGTAGACATAACATCAAGTAACTCTCCATCTACAGAGATTTATAGAGTAGAATATCAGATAGTTGCACCCTTTAAAGGGACTGTGAATAGACATAACATCAAGTAACTCTCCATTTATAGAGATTCATGGAGTGGAATATCAGATAGTTGCACCCTTTAAAGGGACTGTGAGTAGACATAACATCAAGTAAATCTTCATTTATAGAGATTTATAGAGTGGAATATCAGATAGTTGCACCCTTTAAAGGGACTGTAAGTAGACATATCATCAAGTAACTTTTCATTTACAGAGATTCATAGAGTGGAATATCATATAGTTGCACCCTTTAAAGGGACTGTAAGTAGACATATCATCAAGTAACTTTTCATTTACAGAGATTCATAGAGTGGAATATCAGATAGTTGGACAGTTGCACCCTTTAAAGCATTTTCTACTCAAGAAAGCATAGAATTCAATTTTGCTTAGAAAAAGCAGATTATTTTTAATTAAAAGTTCTCATATAAAATGACTTGCGCATTTCTACATTAAAAACAGTATGGAAAAAATGGTCGTAATTTAACTCTTTTCCAACTAGAACAATTATAATGTATTCCAAATTATTGATCAGAAAGAGGTTTATTACAGTCCCTTTAATAATACAAGTATTTCATTACGTAACATCTTCAGAATTTATTATCATTATTAAGAATAAATATTTTAGATTTAATATGTTTATCAAATATTAAATATTTGAAACAAATTGTTTAATGATTTGCGGAATATTTATAATCATTAAATATTTTCAGAGGCGAGTACACTAAACAGTGGGGGGGGGGGGCTATTGTGCCCCCCCCCTGGATCAATGAAATATATGATTTTCAGGAGGTTTTAAGGTCTTAAAGGGTAGATAGATAGATAGATATATATTTGACTAAATATTTTAATTAAAAACAATTACAATTACAATTTTTACATTTTAATTTAGCCGGGGCCTTTCTAACCATTGTTGGTTGTTTTGAATGAGAGGCCCTTCTGCAGCGATACATACATGTTCAATTTAAATAATACAAAATAAAACTAAAACAATTTAAAATTAAAGGAAAAAGAGTAGATAGTGGAAAAGGAGTAGATAGTGGAAAGGTATTGAAGAACAGAGAGGAAAAGAAGGATCGTAGGGGGTAGGGGGGGGGGGGGGACAACCCAGCACACAGAGTTTATAATGTTTATGTTTTATTTTGTTTGTTATAATAACAGGGGAAAGGGGATAGAATCAAGATTTAGCAAGAAAAGCAATTTCGATTATACAACAAAAATTACTATATTCTTCAAGACAACTTTTGTTAAGACTTGTTTTAAAACTTGTTAGGGTGCCTAAAGATTTTAATTCCAATGGAATAGAGTTCCAGGTCCTTGGAGGAAAAACCGTAAGAAAACTTTCTAGATATTTATTGTTAAATAATTCTAATTTATAACTTTTTGTTCTATATGGTTCTGCTAACGCTATAAACATTCCATTAAAAGATAATGGAAGTTTGCCAATCATATATTTAAACATAAAAACAGCAGAATTAAATTTGATTATGTCTTTTATTTTTAGAATTTCAAGTTTCAGAAAAAGTGGATCTGCGTGTGCAGCATAACCTTTATCTGCTAGAACTTGTAGAGCTTTTTTTCTGAAGAGTAGATAAATTACCTAATTTACTATTTACTGACGGACCTTAAGATAAAATACCATACTCAAGTTGACTTTTAATAAGACTATCATATATTAACTTTCTAATTCTCAAAGGAAGTTTTACATTTCTTAGTGCAAATATCGCACTTGAAATTTTAGCACATATGTGGTCTAATTGAAAATCCCATTTTAGAAACTCATCAAATCTATAAACTCCTACAAATTTAAAATATTTTTCTTTACAACCTTCGTTTAGTGCCCAATCATTAATTTGTATTGTAGATCATCAAAAGGCATATTTTTTTTTTTCTAAGCAAAATAAATTTAGTTTTAGAAAAATTAAGATTAATATTGTCTGGTTGACATAGCAAACCAGATTGCGCCAAGTGGCGTTGATAGTTCGCGGGATCATATCTGTGTGAACCGTTTTTCAGTTCCACGTGGTCGACTAATTTAAAAAATTTTATACCCCCCCCCGTGTTTAGTGTATGCAATATATTATTTGTTCTACGTTAAAATATGTCTTAAATATTTGTTCTTTGGTAAAATGCATTCATGAGCAAGTGTGAGACTTATCTCTGGAGGACGTCCTGTAGTTGTTAATGCATTCATGATCAAGTGTGAGACTGATCTCTGGAGGAGGCCCTGTAGTTGTTAATGCATTCATGAGCAAGTGTGAGACTGATCTCTGGAGGACGCCCTGTAGTTGTTAATGCATTCATGAGCAAGTGTGAGACTGATCTCTGGAGGACGTCCTGTAGTTGTTAATGCATTCATGAGCAAGTGTGAGACTGATCTCTGGAGGAGGCCCTGTAGTTGTTAATGCAAACAGGCAACAATTTGCTAACAAAACTAGGGTCATTTTTATGTTCGTTAAGAGACCCATTAATTAGTTGTTTAGGGAGCAATGCCCTAGCTGTATTAAGCAGTTGTCTCTGCAATGTATGTTTGATTTTATCTTGATTGGCACCTTTTAATTATTACGGGTTTACTAGTTACTACTTTCTTAAACTCCTCATTAGCAGTTGCATATACCTGCCAGCTCATATCTTGATATTCTCCTCTAATTAAATTACGGGAATTCACTTGTTTCTCATGCATTTTACACTCTTTACTAGGCGCGCAAGTTAATTTAATAGCGTGAAATTCCGTAAATATTGTTCACAATAAACACAATTTTGTTAAACTTTCTTGTGTTTGTGTTTCAACTTTTTGAGAATATTCAATTTAGACCTAATGGAACACAATAAATGCAATTTTCACCTTTGCGCAATTACAATCATCAACATAGAGTTTTAAAAAAATCAATTTAAAATTTGGTAGTAGCATACAATAAACTGAACTTCTCTAACATTTCAGTCTCAAATGATAAAAAAATTGAATTTATACTTCATTTTTTTATTTTATAAGATATAAAGCATGATAACCAGAAAACTCAAGTATAGGAAGACGACTTTTAGACACTAGGTCTACTTTGACTGAACAAGAATTTAGTAAGTTACTAAGTATTTTTTTTGCTTTGTAACGTGATCTAATAAACTGTAATGATGTTTAGACACTAGGTCTACTTTGACTGAACAAGAATTTAGTAAGTTACTAATTAATTTTTTGCTTTGTAACGTGATCTAATAAACTGTAATGATGTTTAGACACTAGGTCTACTTTAACTGAACAAGAATTTAGTAAGTTACTAATTAATTTGTTTTGCTTTGTAACGTCATCTAGTAAACTGTAATGATGTTTAGACACTAGAGTCTACTTTAACTGAACAAGAGTTTAGTAAGTTACTAATTAATTTGTTTTTCTTTGTAACGTCATCTAGTAAACTGTAATGATGTTTAGACACTAGAGTCTACTTTAACTGAACAAGAATTTAGTAAGTTACTAATCAATTTGTTTTGCTTTGTAACGTCATCTAATAAACTGTAATGTTGTTTAGACACTAGGTCTACTTTGACTGAACAAGAATTTAGTAAGTTACTAAGTTTTTTTGCTTTGTAACGTGATCTAATAAACTGTAATGTTGTTTAGACACTAGGTCTACTTTGACTGAACAAGAATTTAGTAAGTTACTAAGTATTTTTTTGCTTTGTAACGTGATCTAATAAACTGTAATGATGTTTAGACACTAGGTCTACTTTGACTGAACAAGAATTTAATAAGTTACTAATTAATTTGTTTTGCTTTGTAACGTCATCTAATAAACTGTAATGATGTTTTCTGGTTCTCACTGTAGCAAAATTAAATAAATCTTACAATTTGAACCAAAAAAGTAACATATTAAATTGTTAATTTTGCAGAATTCCCAAATATTTAATTGCTTCCTTCTTCGCAATTATAGCACTATTCCACGCTATGAAATGGGACAGGCGTAAGAATCATTGCGCGCAATTCCACACAACAGAATTAGAAACCCTTCTCTTTACTTAGTCTATTAAACTCTTTTGGACAGGTGTCTCAGCATATATCTGTCAGTTCATGTCACGACAGGCAACTCTTAATTTAAACGGGTTCACAAATTTCTCAAAAGTTCAATACTCTCCACTTTCCCTTGATTCCCTTTAAAAAGAAGACAAGGAGACATCATTCTTCAGTTCAGCTCAATCTTTCGTTCAGGAGACTTGGGATATCCAGACAAACCATTTAGGAATCCAATTCTTTAAAACTTAATAAATAAAATAGTATTTGAAGTAATGTTCTATTTTAAGTAGAAGTAAAATCTTCTTCTGCATATTTAAGATTTTAGTTTTCCTTCTAGTAATTAAGGATTTGGATTTTAGAAACTTGAAAATCAGAACTGACAAGAAAGATGAATCTAATCTTTAGTATTTGCCTTCTTCTTATCTTCATGGCTTCAGCAATAGAAGCTCACCCCTCTGAGATTTTTAAGAGACATTCAATGCCCTCACCATTAAGTTCTGCTGAGCGTGAAAGCAGAAACATTAAAAATACATTAGGACTGTTTGATGATACTCGAGAACCTACTGAGGAGGAGATAACACCTCTTGTTGAGGAATCAGAGATGAATACAGAGGAAACAGAGATCACTACTGTAGCTACAGATCAAACAACAGTTTTGGACATTGAAGAAGAAGAAAACATCACTGTGAAAATTAGCAATAATCTTCCTAATAATCTTGAAGCAACAGCAGAAAGGACAGGGAAGCAGCACATAATTGATCTTCAACTTTTGTCTCCAAGTCAATATCCTCTTCATTACCTTGAAAATCAGCCCCAAGCTCCTAAAGTTCTGCAAACCCTTGCACTAGCTCAGAAAAATGGGATTCTGATTGATCAGTTTGGAAACACTTTCAAGTTAGCTGAAATTCCATCTCATCTAAGCCAAGGCAAGCATGAAAATCCAGTAGTTGAAAACAATGTAGATTTACTTGAAGAAGATCCAATCTATGACACAGAGTTTATTGAAGATGAAACAGTCAATGAAAATGTTTTAGTAAAAGATGTCGCTACCGACAATGGGGTGAAATGTGTTAAAAAGGTAATGCAGGTTGAGGAAATTGTTCATGATAATATCATAAAGTGTTCACACTCATTTACAGAAAAATGCCACAACACTTTTATCACAGATTATGCACCATCTCAGGAGGAAAAGTGTTCAACAAGCTTTGAAAAGAATTGCAAGATCACCTACCAACCAATGGCCTTTGATGAGAAGGTGGAGATTTGTGATGAGCCCTTGAAGAAAGTTTGCAATGATTCTATAACTGGAGAGGAGGTTTGTCGGACTGAGTATGAAACTTCCTGTGAAACCAGGTACAAGATCCATACTGTAGAGCAAGATGAACCTGTTTGTAAAATGGTTATGGAGAAGAAGTGTGATGGTGTTGTGGTAGACAATCAAGATCAAGCAAACAATGGAAGAAGAAGGAGATCAATTGCTAGAATAGAAAATGGAGAAGAATTTATCCGACAAGCAGAAAACTGTGAAGAATGGCCAGTACAGAAATGTACACTAGAGAAGAAAACTGTGACTAAATCCAACCCTGAAACTTCATGTCAGAAGCATCCTAAAGAAGTTTGTACAACATCCAACTGTAAATTTGTTCGGAGTGAGAAGACCTGCAGAGAGGAAACAAGAAGTCTTGTTCAAAATATTCCAAGTGAAGATTGTGACCTGGAGCCTAGGGAGACCTGTAAACTGGAAACAGTTCTAGTTCCACGTTTAGTTGAGAAACCCAACTGTGTTCAGGTTCCAAAGGAGATTTGCGTTGAAGGAAAGACTAATCCAACAAAGGTATCAAAGCCTGTTGTAAAGGAATGGTGCTACCGCCCTCAGGACTTCCAAGCTAACTCCACCAAGGAAGCATTAGATTTTGTTCTGAACCAGCTCAATGAGTAGATGATGACTGTATTTGAGACAAGGCATTACAATCTCGAAGCAAAGTCTAAGAAATTAAAGATCTTTTGCAAAAATATGGTCTTCCACATATATTTGAAATGTAAACAATATTGATGTCAAATGTTATTTTTTTTCCAAATTGTTTAAACTATTTTGTAATCATGCTGGTTTTGGATATAAAGTTAGTGTATGTATTGTAAATCACACCGGGAATAAACGCACAAAACTCTCATACTAATAATCCTTTTAATTATCCCTTACCTTAATCAAAGGGAGTGCTGTGCCATGCCACAACCTGCTGGGCTGTCGTGCCACGTCACAACCTGCTGGGCTGGCGTGCCACGCCACAACCTGCTGGGCAAGCATTTCTCGCCACAACCTGTAGGGGGGCGAACGCCAGGAGGATTTTAAAGATCGATTTTGCGCTCTTACTTAGCAATTATACACAATACAATAATGTTTTAGGTTTCAAATGATTTCTAAAAGATTCCTCTTTAATACTGCACTCTCAGGTTGAATACCGTGTCTAGCTAGACACTCCCTTTAATTCACAATTTCAGAAGCCAAATGGAGCTTTTAAATCTGAAGTTTTAGTGTAGATACAGTTTGTCAATTACAAAAAAGACAATCTTACTCTGAGCCAATTTCTACATTTGGTAAATTTTTACACATTGTCAAAGGTGTTCAAGAGATGATCGGGAAGACAAACAAACAAACAATCAGAGATTACTAATAATGAATATAAATAGTAATCCCAAAAGTTTAAAGCTTTGGTTAGAGGTGTGTATGATGGTTTCGAAAAAGGAATACTTTTTTTCAAGATTATAAAAGTTATAGGTTTACATACAGTGATAGTCAGAAAACTGTAGAATAAGAGACGACATTATAGCAATACTGAAGTGCATTTGATATCGTTACAAAGGTTTACTAGTAACTTATCAATCAAGTTATGAGTCTTAAAGTCAACTTCCTATTGCAGAGTTTTCTGGTTATCACTGTAGTTATAAATTATTTATGATGTGAGCCATTTATATTCTGGCTTATTAGGTTTCTTTCTCTGGATTAATAAAGGTGTCAATAATTGTCTGAAGCTATATTGGCCTATATTTTATATACTTTTACACATTTTTATAAATATATTTTTTTTGACTTGTATTTATGTGAGTGCATGTAGGGTTTTGTTAATTTTGATGTTAATAAAAAAATGCCAATCAAATGTTAAGGACATTTTTAAAGCTTGGAAAAGGGTAACCAGGCTCCTTCATGTGTTCCGTGTTACCAGTTTATAGCATGTTACCAATTCATAGCATGTTACCAGTTTGTTGCTTGTAACCAGTTTGTTGCATGTTACCAGTTTGTTGCTTGTTACCAGTTTATTGCATGTTACCAGTGTGTTCCATGTTATCAGATTGTATTATGGTACCAGTGTGTTCCATGTTACCAGTGTTTGTTGCATGTTACCAGTATTTGTTGCTTGTTACCAGTTTGTTGCATGTTACCAGTGTGTTCCATGTTATCAGTTTGTATCATGGTACCAGTGTGTTCCATGTTACCAGTGTGTTCCATGTTACCAGTGTTTGTTGCATGTTATCAGTTTGTTGCATGTTACCAGTGTGTTCCATGTTATCAGATTGTATTATGGTACCAGTGTGTTCCATGTTACCAGTGTGTTCCATGTTACCAATGTTTGTTGCATGTTACCAGTGTGTTCCGTGTTTCTAGTTTGTATCATAGTACCAGTGTGTTCCATGTTACCAGTGTTTGTTCTGTGATTTTTTCATTTCGTTAGTCCTCAGCGTTTTCTCACTAGAAGTTCGTTCAGTTTAAAACTTTTTTAATTCATTAAAAAACTTTCGCTTTTGAAACATTTAAAAAAAAATCATTCGTTCGGTAAAAAACAACTATCATAATTTTTAAAATCTTATTGAAAAATGTGTGTTTTGTAAACTAAACGATCGTCTTTGTAAGAATCGTTTAAACGATTAAACATCGTTCTTTTTCCATTTCTCTGAAAGATCCAAGTGTTGATCATTTTTTTTCTAATTAATACCGTTCACAAAATTTGCTTTCGTTCGTTAACAAACACGATCCCCATCTCTACTTTCAACATTGTTGATACCCATCTCTACTTTCCATATTGTTGATAACCATCTCTACTTTCCATATTGTTAATACCCATCTCTACTTTCCACATTGTTGATATCCATCTCTACTTTCCACATTATTGATATCCATCTCTACTTTCCACATTGTTGATACCCATCTCTACTTTCCACATTGTTGATACCCACCTCTACTTTCCACATTGTTGATATCCATCTCTACTTTCCACATTGTTGATATCCATCTCTACTTTCCTTATTGTTGATACCCATCTCTACTTTCCACATTGTTTATACCCATCTCTACTTTCCACATTGTTGATATCCATCTCTACTTTCCACATTGTTGATACCCATCTCTACTTTCCATATTGTTGATACCCATCTCTACTTTCCATATTGTTGATACCCATTTCTACTTTCCACATTGTTGATACCCGTCTCTACTTTCCACATTGTTGATACCCATCTCTATTTTCCACATTGTTAAAACCCATCTCTAATTTCCATATTGTTGATACCCATCTCTACTTTCCACATTGTTGATACCCATCTCTACTTTCCATATTGTTGATACCCATCTCTACTTTCCATACTGTTGACACCCATCTCTACTTTCCATATTGTTGATACCCATCTCTACTTTCAACATTGTTGATATCCATATCTACTTTCCATATTGTTGATAACCATCTCTACTTTCCATATTATTGATACCCATCTCTACTTTCCACATTGTTGATACCCATCTCTACTTTCCATATTGTTGATACCCATCTCTAGTTTCCACATTGTTGATACCCACCTCTACTTTCCATATTGTTGATACCCATCTCTACTTTCCACATTGTTGATATCCATCTCTACTTTCCATATTGTTGATAACCATCTCTACTTTCTATATTGTTGATACCCATCTCTAGTTTCCACATTGTTGATACCCACCTCTACTTTCCATATTGTTGATAACCATCTCTACTTTCCATATTGTTAATACCCATCTCTACTTTCCACATTGTTAATACCCATCTCTACTTTCCATATTGTTGATACCCATTTCTACTTTCCATATTGTTGATACCCATCTCTACTTTCCACATTGTTGATACCCATCTCTACTTTCCACAAAGTTGATACCCATCTCTACTTTCCATATTGTTGATACCCATCTCTACTTTCCATATTGTTGATACCCATCTCTACTTTCCACATTGTTGATATCCATCTCTACTTTCCACATTGTTGATACCCATCTCTACTTTCCATATTGTTGATACCCATCTCTACTTTCCACATTGTTGATATCCATCTCTACTTTCCACATTGTTGATACCCATCTCTACTTTCCACATTGTTGATACCCATCTCTACTATCCATATTGTTGATACCCTTCTCTACTTTCCATATTGTTGATAAAATTTTCTGAAAAAAATTATTGCTTGATGTTAATCTAAGGTACAAACACAAAACGAGGATATAGGATATATTTGGAATTAATAAATTGAAACAAGTTGTATGGGAGATCATAACATATTATTTAACCTATAAACAAACATACAAATACAGAGCATTCTTATGGACATTTCTTTCCATATTATGGAGTTCTAGAGATGAAATATGGCAACAGAACCATGACGAAGTAATAAAATCCAGGTGCATTGACCGTGCTTGGTGAAAAAATTAAACAAATTTTAACATATGAAATTTAATTTGTCTATCGTTTAAATTGATATTTATATAATTATGAAAGAAGTTGGTAACAGTCAGTTATTTTATTGTTAGGAAAAAGAGATTTAAATGTCAAAATTTTGTAAATTATTACTAATTAAAACTCTACGGAAGTGAAAGGGAAAAAGATTGTAAAATGACGATTTATTGTTAGTCTGATATCAACAATTTATAAGTTTTTATTTTATATAATATTTGAATAATAATGTTGAATATATATTTACATTTGAACACATGTATGAGAAAGAACAAAGTGACTTCAGTGTTTAAGGTAATTTTGATAAAATAAAACTGAAAAATCTTCAAATATAATTCTGATTTAATAATTGTGCTTTTACAGATTTTTTTTGTTTAAAAATAGTGTGCTAAAACATAAAATATGTTATTATTTTGTGCTAAAAAAAAGAGATCTTATATTTAAGTTCTAAGCAGTTTTATGAAAACCCGCGAAATTTGTTATTGCCGTTAATTGTATATTTTTACGTTCTTAAATCTGAATTTGAACATTTATAAAAGATAAGATGGTAACCTGCAGAAATAATGTTTTAAATCGAAATAATTTTACACATTCACGAAAAGATGGCAAGAAACATACTACAACTATATTTCCTATTTTTCTAAACATTTCATTTTGATTGAACTTGTTAAAGTATTTTTATAACTTTAATGAGTTAAAAACTCGATGAAAAATAATTGTTCTTTAAATTTTATTTTATTCATTATGTAGTTTAAAGAATTTATGAAGTAAAACTTTTGAAAATTAAACCAGATAATAATCCGACTAGTTCGTGGGAGGGGGGGGGGGTACTTAATTGTTTTTCAACATTCTAAGGAGGGGGCATGGTCCCCATAACTTTTCTCCCCCCCCCCTTTTAGTTATTACTAGTTGCATACATACTTACTGAAAAATATTTGCAAGTTTTAATTGGTCTTTTACGTCAAGTAAACATTATTCTGAACTAACTATAAAGGTTAAGGGTGTATGCTTCTCAGCAAAATATCCCGCAGAATATCTTTCTTATTACAATATGTATTTTTAGGTTTCACTGAGATATTGAGTTAAAATTTGTATTAAGTTATAATAAGTTCAAACTATTACAATATCTCGCAAGTGTTGTGTATCTGGAATCAAAACACCCATTACAAACTAATTAAATTATAGCTTTCCTAGTTCAGAGGATCATCAACACTATAGGTAGAATGTAGATACTAGATATATTCATTCTAACATTAATTTGAGAAATTAGCAGCACTGTTGCTAAGGGTCAAAAATGGCAAGAACATGTGTGTGTACTGTCTCCTACAGTACATGCACTTAAAAACATATGTACTCAACAGTACAAGAAACTAATGTACTTTGTACACTGTACAGTGATTGCACACTGTACACTGTACAATTTACTTAATAAATGAAATATTCTCTAATTAGTTAATAAAGAAAGAATAGAGTACTGTACAGACAGCTGGTTCAGCTCAAATACTGCTTAAGAATCAGACAGATTTTTTTGCTCCGGAGCTATTTTTCTTAAATACTTTGTTCAGATTAAATTCTTTAATCCGTTAACAAAACCTAGATTTAATCAGCTAAAGAAAAACATGATTTGAAATTAAAATATCTTGAATCTTAATAAATTAGTTCTTGATCTTGATTTTCCAGGATTTGATCTTGTTTTAAATAAGTTTAGAAGTTGATCTTGACTTACAAAATCTTAAACTTCAGATCAAGACGTTCGATGTGCTTATCTTGATCCTCGAAATATTGATCTTGATTTTTGAAATCTTTATCTTGACTGTCGATGTGCTGATCGCTGACTATGATCTTACAATATCTTCATCTTGATTTTCAACATATTGATCTTGATTTTCAGTATCCAGATCTTGACTTTCAATATATTGATCTTCTTGACTTTCGATATCTCGATATTCATTTTCAGTGTCCAGATCTTGACTTTCAATATGCTGATCTTGATTTTTGAGATCTAGATCTAGACTTTCAATATGCTGATCTTGATTTTTGAGATCTAGATCTTGACTTTCAATATGCTGATCTTGGTTTTTGAGATCTAGATCTAGACTTTCCATATGCTGATCTTGATTTTTGAGATCTAGATCTAGACTTTCCATATGCTGATCTTGATTTTTGAGATCTAATACATTAACCTGGCCCATATATGCAAATACCTAGATACAAATACATTAACCAGGCCCATAAATGCAAATACCTAGATACAAATACATTAACCTGACCCATATATGCAAATACCTAGATACAAATACATTAACCAGGCCCATATATGAAAATACCTAGATACAAATACATTAACCTGGCCCATATATGCAAATACCAAAATACAAATACATTAGCTATGCCCAAATATGCAAATACCTAGGTACAAATAAAGTAACTAGGTCCATGTATGTAAATACCTAGATACAAATACATTAACCAAATACATTAAATACACATATATTAAATACATTAATATGTTTGCAAATACCAAAATACAATTTTGGCTTCTTTAAGGGTGAATATAATATTAGGTCAATGGGTGTGCTTAGAGATAAATATGCTTTGCACTAGTGTACTCAATAACAGAGGACTCTATTCTCACAGGGGTAAAGTACTTTATCTCCCAAAATACACCCCAGCCGTTTTAAGACTATACATAAATTAAAATAGTAATTTTACCAGCAAGCTTTTTGTAAGTATTTTTTTGTAAATGTTTCCCAAATGATTGAAAAAAAACATTCAAATAACTTTTTAATAAATCAACTAGTGAAGGAAAAAAATCAATTATATGATGAAATTAATTTTTTTTTAAATGTGGTGAAAATGTTTTCCTTTCTGTCTCCGCTGGATGGAAATTGTCCATTTTACTGTCACTCTCTGTTATCTTGACTATATTATTCGAGGTCCGAGATTGTCTAAAGTAGAAAAAAATTAAAATAATTTCGAAATTTACATTTCTAACAAAACATATATTAATCAGAAGAATGAGTCCATTTCAAAAGGGGATGGTGGAGAAGTCCTATTTGATGAGGGGGGGATCGAATTCCTAAAATAAAATAAAATTTAATTATAATGATCTCTAATGACCTCTAATGACCTATTTTCAAATATAAAATGTTTGAATGTATGCATATCAAACAAAAAGTAGGAACCCAGGGAATAAAGTAGAAGCAACGAATCCAGTGTTTGACCTTCTAATGACCTCGAACGACCTCTAATGACCTAAAATGACCTCCAAAATGAATTATTTTTACCTATGGCTTTATGCATGTCAAGCGAAAGCTAGAAACCCAGAAAATACAAGAGCAGTAGAAGCATAAAATTGATAAAAGATTGCTTACCTGCACTTGACAATGATAAGACAGGGAAGAATGATGACGATAAAGACTGGCATGAACATAACGCCGAGGAACACGGCGGCGACGAACGCGATCAATGCAATGGCAATCGCTATCGGGAAGAGAACAACTGTCATCAATATTTTACATAGGGAGCACGATGGTCCTAAAATATAAATCAGTTTTAAGAAAATTATTTTTCTGCATTTTTACTTGCAATATATAAAACTTCGCGTTTAAGTAATAGAAGTCAGAAATGTCTGGTTGATTCATTACGTTGCTTGATTTTTTGAATAAAATTATATAAACACGTACAGTACGTACAGTACGTACAGTACGCACGGTACGAACCATAACACCGTGGATTAGTAAGACAACTAGAAGTTTTGATTTTGAAAAGTCCAATGAATATTAACACTGAATTGTGCTGAGTAAACAGACCTATCACTTGATTTACAGGCTTCAGGTAAATCAATTAGCTTTCTGAAACGATCAAATAAACATCAGATTTATAAATGTCGTTTTCCTATTCCGCAGTTTTGTGGTCACCACTGTATCAGATGACTAGTTTTTCTTCACCGTTTGGATAAAAGTTGTTCAAAAAATTTTAACTACTGAGGATCGTCATGATAGACGTGAAACATTATGTTTAGTATAATTCTTTTTTAATAAAAGATGTGAAGTTAAAAACTGAAATATATATATATATTGAATATAAATGTTAGCTTTAACTAAACCAAGTTGACTGATTTTTTTAAAGTGACCCATGGGTAAGTAGGTACCCTTGGGGTGACATAGGCAAAAAAATGTCTTCAAAATTCTAATTTTACTTTTCTTTCAAAATTCAAAATTTGTCACGGGCAACGTCGTGCAATTCAGCTAGTTTTTTTTAAAATATCAGTAAAAAATATACCGTTTGATCCACATTTTCTCTCCCCAAATATGCTATTAAACAGTCTCGACAATGGTTTAGGAATACAACAAAGCAGCAGCTTTCTCTCTCTGAAAAAGAAAAACATATTTTTCAGAAAAAAAAATCTAAAATTTTAAATATTTTTGAAATAAGATTTTCTCATAATAACACTAAAACAAAAAGCATACGTCTGTTACGAATAGTTTAAACAAAAATAGTTCCACAATTCTAATGAACTCGATTTAAATATGTACAAGCAAAGAAACCACTCTGGATGGCAAATACAAAAAATTAAACTGAAAAAAATCACGCATTATTTTTTACCTGATTTCCCCGCAAAGGAACATGTTTGAGAAAAGGAAACATTTCCAGTGCCCATCTTGCTTCATGGTTGTGTAATCCATGATTAACCAGGCCCATATATGTAAATACCTAGATACAAATACATTAACCAGACCCATATATGTAAATACCTGGATACAAATACATTAACCAGGCCAATATATGCAAATACCTAGATACAAATACATTAACCAGGCCCATATATGCAAATACCTGGATACAAATACATTAACCAGGCCCATATATGCAAATACTTGGATACAAATACATTAACCAGGCCCATATATGCAAATACCTAGAAACAAATACATTTACCTGGCCCATATATGCAAATACCTAGATACAAATATGCAAATACCTAGATACAAATACATTAACCAGGCCCATATATGAAAATACCTAGATACAAATACATTAACCAGGACATGTTTGGAAATACCTAAACTAAATACATTAACCAGAGCATACTGTTTATAATGTTCACTCAATTTGTGAATAATATTAATTAGCTTTCAAGTAATCCTTCCATTTACTTTTTGCCACGCTTTAAACTAAATTTCCCCCCGGAAAATGTTTTACTTTTTTTTGCACACAACCCCTGAACCCTTATTATTTATCAATCTATCTATTCCCTACCCCCTGAACCCTTATTATCTATCACTCCATCTATTCCCTACCCCCTGAACCCTTATTATTTATCACTCTATCTATTCCCTACCCCCTGAACCCTGATTATTTATCACTCTATCTATTCCCTACCCCCTGAACCCTTATTATTTATCACTCTATCTATTCCCTACCCCCTGAACCCTTATTATTTATCACTCTATCTATTCCCTACCCCCTGAACCCTGATTATTTATCACTCTATCTATTCCCTACCCCCTGAACCCTTATTATTTATCACTCTATCTATTCTTTACCGCCTGAACCCTTATTATTTATCACTCTATCTATTCCCTACTCCCTGAAGGACAAATTATAAAGTGCCCAGTACAAGTAAAGGTTTTATTTTGCTTGTTTACTTTGTTATGAAAATACTACATTTTTAACAAATATCAATAAACAGTTCATATTTATATTTCATATTTATACTTTATAGTTGATAATATTCCAGAAATTTGTACTCAAGAACGCACAAATGTTTTATAAATTGCAGTGTTAACGTTCCCCCACAACCAAAGGAAGTGTTTATATTTGTGACAAAAATTCTAATTTTAGGTATATCACTATAAAATCCATTTTAGATTGAAATATTTGCTCGTTTTTTAAACATGTTTTTCTAGGTTAGTCTAAAAAGCTAACACTAAAAGTAAAAAGTTGTAAAATTCTTGCAACTAAAAAGTTGCTGATGTAGGATACAAACTATGATGTAGGAGGTTACTAAGTTGCTGGTGTAGGGTAAAAACTATGATGTAGGAGGTTACTAAGTTGCTGATGTAGGATAAAAACTATGATGTAGGAGGTTACTAAGTTGCTGGTGTAGGATAAAAACTATGATGTAGGAGGTTACTAAGTTGCTGGTGTAGGATAAAAACTTTGAGGTAGGAGGTTACTAAGTTGCTGATGTAGGATAAAAACTATGATGTAGGAGGTTACTAAGTTGCTGGTGTAGGATAAAAACTATGAGGTAGGAGGTTACCAATTTGTACCAGTATATCCGCAAATATTTAGACCTAGTACCTGTAGTAAACACATTTAAGAATAAGTCCAACAAACTGGAATCCCAACAGTACTACAACATACGTTGCTCGGCCTTCCTACAACAAAATAGCGAACAATAAAGGGAGATGAGACTTCATTGTTCAAGTAAACTTCCGTTTCAAGATTGAGGAAAATATCATCGTTTTTCTAGGGCTCAGTTTAATACTTTTGCCACACCTTTGCCATAATAACACTGGTCATTAATACTTTTGACGTAAGTAACATTTGCCATAACTACATTTGTCATAATTATCTTATTTTTTACTAAGATCATATACATCTTGCTATTTTTTCATTAACGGGTCAAATTTCTCATAAAATTCCCAAAAATCAGAAAACTTGAGTTCATTTTTTTTCTTTTAATTTGACTCTTCAGAGACCTTAGGTAACTAAAAGACTGGCGAGTGTAATTATGAGTTTCCAGTTTAAACATAAACCATGATACATTTTAGAAATTCAAGAGCGAAAGTTAAAAATTACACTCAAAACCACAACACACGGCATGAAAACTACACTGAGCCGAGGTTAAAGAGAATATCGTTGTACGAAACTCCCGAGTTTCCTTCATGGGTTAGGGTCTATATATATTTACGAATTTTAATTTAATAAATCAGAAAACAAAAAGATAATGTGAATTTTAATAAATATTGGTTTCTCCAAACTGTCTGACCCTATTCATAAAACGGGGTTTCCGATACTGGGTTTTATTACGATATTCCGTCTTAAGTTTCGGGCTCTGACTTACCCTGAGTTCTATAATATGGGAGTTGAGGGCAATGGATAGAAGGACCACGTTCTCTGCTATGAAGATGAGATCGAACAAGAACTGTCGGACCAAGGTGGACACATGCTGCAGAGGTTTGGCCCATGGAAGGAGAAGAGGGTCCATTCTAAAAATAATATAAACTCAAAAAAATCCACGAAATAAATATATATCGTAGCAAAAGTAATTATTAATAAGTTCCTGACGCAACATAATCTCCTATTTATTTGTAATCGAAGTTTTATTTAAATGCTCATATGTCATTGCCAGCTTGTTCTGTCCTTTTTACTTGGAACTTAAATTTTCTAACCCTCTTAACCCTATTTAGGCTGACGTCTGGTTTACCCAAAATAGTCTGGGGAGGGGGTCCCAAGGACCCCTCTATTTCCCTAATGTGATACAACTCAATAACATTTGATATATTTTTGGAAAGCCCTTGGGCTCTACTTATATAATCTGCAAAAAATTGCAAATTTACAAAATTTTGAATATTTATTGCAATATCAAGTTATGTGGTAAACGCCTACTCCATAACAATTTCTCGAAACGTATCTATCCAGGTATAACACAGATTCTCTTGACTATCAATGTCAACACAAGGCTAGAAGTCCGTAAACTATCAACGCCACTAGCACTAGCGCGATCTTGTTAGCTATCGGTGTCAAAACGTACATTAGCTATTAATCGAGCTCTAAATGTCAAACAGGGACACAAGCGTAGCTATCAATTAAGCTCTTAATCGATCTATACCAAATACTGAGTTATGAGCTCAGCCCGTATGTTTCAACAAGGGCGCAGTTTAGCATCAAACAAGCTCTTTATCGGCCTATACCAAATACCGAGGTATGATCTCAGCTGCATGTTTCAACGAGGACACAGTTTAGCCATCAAACAAGCTCTTAATTGATCTATACCAAATACCGAGGAATGATCTCAGCCCGTATTTTTCAACAAGAACACAGTTTAGCCATCAAACAAGCTCTTAATCGGCCTATATCAAATACCGAGGTATGATCTCAGCCTGTATGTTTCAACGAGGACGCAATTACTCAACAAAGCGGAGTTTCTATATTACAAATGTAATTGAGGTTTATGTGTTGGTTATAGTTAAAAGACGTAATTACAATTCCTACGTCGTTATCTATATCACATGATTAAGACAATCATGTTACGTATTTGCCGCACAGTTAAAATTGAATGTACGTATTTATAAGATTAGCAAGGATTGATATAACGTAGTTGGAAATAGCGAGCAAGTTTAAATATTCAATTATTTAGAACTACTTCAAGGGGAAATTAGTATTTGTCCATTCTAAGAAATAGTAAAAAAAAAGATAAGCGCTCCAAATTAAAGGATTCCAAAGAAAAAAGATATTGTTTCATATAGGACCATACCATATAGTAAAATTCTATTTCTCTCCGAGGTTTTTATTAGTTGAGTGCCTTGTCAATAAGATTTTGTTAGACTGTTTCAACATTTTCTCTGCGATAAAACAATCAAGAAAATTTTACGGATTTACAATTGGATTTACAATTTTTTTTCGTGGATTTTCTAAATTTTATGTAAATCTAAAATTTGTAGAGACAATCTTTTGTAATTCATGCATGCATGGGGTCATGTGAAGTACAAAACAAAATTTGGCCCGATTGTTTCAGCCGTTTTTACATTTAATGGATACAAACGGAATAAAAAAGACAGACAAACAAAATGGATTAATGTACCTGATCCAATTATGAATATAGATGTTGGCGAGCCCGTTCCCAATCAGATAGTGGAAGAAGGAGAGGTTGAGAAAACCTCCTTTCTGCCAGTATTTCTTAGCATCAGAGAATACAAAGTGCAGCAGGGACATGAGCACAATATGCGCCCCCAGGAAGATCAGCAGAGGATAGTATCGTCCCGGTCCGAAGGAATACGCGAAGAAGACAAATATGAAAAGACGACCTAGGATCTGGAAGAGTACGGAGAGAAACAGAACAGCTCTGTAGAAGAGCGCGGCAAGATCTTTGTCCAGCGCACCACGCTTCAGCGTGGCGTGATATGCAGTGAAGCACCATGATAAACTAAAAAATATAATATTATCATCAACTAAATTTATTTTAAACACAAATTTTTTGTAAATGGCCCTCCGTGCAAAGATTGCAACGTTTTATTTACAACAGTATCCTAGATTTTGAAGATATCATTATTTTTGTGAGTTGCTCCATTGCTGTTTGTAAGCAAGAAATGCACCACTCACTTTCGTAGTGAAACCGCAATAGAAAATAAACAGTTTAACAGAACAAAAAAAATGATATCCATTTCATAAATGATTTAAACGGTGCTGTTGTAAATCGGCAATTGCAATCTTTAAATGGAGTGTCACTTGAAATTACGCGTACAGAGTCCCTTTAATACCTTAGAATTGAAGTGATAATGGAAATGGTTTGATCTGGTTTAATTACTGGAATATTTCCAGATCTGCACAGAGTAAAAACCTTAAGAAAATTTTATAAAAAATATAATCTAACAATCTTTGTTTCATTAGTTTCAATAAGATAATGTGTTCCAACTTATTTACGCGTTATTTATTTTAACAATAACTTATTTATTTTCCACCTGAAAGACGAATTTTTCCCCTTCAATCTGTTGGACCAGGGTTGGGAAGAGAAGGTAAAGTTGTATAGTTGGTTGGAAACTTGATTCCAGGCTAACCTCCATTACTCTTAACACAAATATTATTCATTCATTTCTAATCAAAAGTTATCCGTAATGTAGATATATAATGTAGATAAAACATTAATAATAATTGATAAATCTGAAAGATATCCATCATTCCGTAGAAATCCAGGTTAAGCTCCCGTTAAAAATAATAACCAAACCATATAATGTAAAATACTATATTGGGGGCCAACATGTAGGAATACAAATCTACGGCACTCAACCAAATAGTTTGGAAGAGGTAATAAATCAATTTTGAGAGAGTAAATCAAATTTGATCTATACAACTTTTTTAATCTGAAACATACAGGGTGTCCCAAAAAACGCTTTTTTCTAGAGCTCGCAAGATATTTTTTTGGACATTTTCGAAATTTATGTAACATTTCTGTCGATGCAGGACACCAAATACCAACTAAAAGGTTGTGCTACAAACCTCTAACTGGGGTACAGCATGAGAGCTTTGGTACATAAAATTTAGTTTTTGGGACACCCTGTATGCTTGAAGCAATTTGACCATTACAATTCAGTGTTATTAAGACTGGGATTGGTTGACCATGCATTATAATATGAGAAACAACAAAACTGTTAGCAGAGATCAACAATTACTTGAAAATTATCCCTTCCATTTTATCAAAAACTAGCTGAAGAGCCCGGCGTTGCAAGTGAAAAATAAAATTGAAAAAAATACTCTTAAACAAATTTAAAAAAAAATGAATAACACCCCTAACACCCCCCGGCCACCCATGAGTGTCCACAAAAAATTTCAGCCCAATCGGTCCAACCGTTTTGCCGGCTATACGCAACATATATAATTTATATATACGAATGTCTTGTTTTATTATATAGACTAGCTAAAGGCCCGTGGGGAAAAAAATTGAAAAAAATATTTTTAAAAATTTTGGCGGGCTATACGCAACATATATATATATATACGAATGTCTTGTTTTATTATATAGATTGTAATATAAACCAAATAAAACATCTGATTTGCACTGTGGGCAGAAGAGTAAAAAATCTTTGAAATCATAATTTCCCAAATGAAAGGTATACTTTCTTTCGGTGAAAAAACTAGTCAAATTTTTCATTTTTTCCACTGACCATCAAACTTTCATTCCCCCTTCCGGTGAGGGGGGGGGGCCTTGTGCAAAACTTCCAAACGCGTGAAAATGTTTATTTCTAAAGAAATATTTACCTAGCTGTAGAATAAAGAACCTCAGAAGTTTCAATTTTCTTCTCCCTCGCCACCTTCTTAGCCCCCTTCACAACAAGTAGTGTCACATCTGAACCTCTGAGGGGGGGGGGGGGGGGGAGACGAAGGGGGGTTAAATAGAGCGATAGTCTTTTTTAAGCTATGTACTGATAGTAAGGCAGGAGTGTATAGTTCGGCTACTTTTCAAATTGGATTCTTACAAAGTGTCATAAAGCAAGAAAGAGGATATTTAATCTCAAGAAAGTGTCCATAAAGTATGAAAAAGAATATTGAATTTGAAGAATGTGTCCATATAGTAAAAAAGGTAATATTGAATTTGAAGAAAGTGTCCATAAAGTAAAAAAGGTAATATTGAATTTGAAGAAAGTGTCCATAAAGTAAGAAACACAATATTGAATTTGAGGAAAGTGTCCATGAAGTAAGAAAGAGAATATTGAATTTGAGGAAAGTGTACATAAAGTAAGAAAAAGAATATTAGGTTTGAAGAAAGTGTCCATAAAGTAAGAAAAAGAATATAGAATTTGAAGTAAGTGTCTATAAAGTAAGAATAAGAATATTGAATTTGAAGACGGTGTTCAAAAAGTAAGAAAAAGAATATTGAATTTGTAGAAAGTGTCCATAAAGTAAGAAAGGGGAATATTGACCTCGAAGAAAGTGTTCATAAACTATGAAAGACAATATTGAATTTTAAGGTGGTGTTCACAACAAATGTATAAAAAGGGAACGTCTTTAAACAATAATACAATACAAAATGTGCATTGGTTTTCAAGAATGTGTCCATAAATCATGAAATGGGAAATTGCATTTGAAGGGTGTGGGAATGGGGTAGATAGCTAGAAAGTTTCCATAAATTTGAATAGACGGAAAACCAAATTGTTGGATTTATCCTAACCCTCTTGAAAAACAACCGGAACAGTCCTTTCAACTGTAAAACTCAATTTCTGAATCTAAAATTAACATCTTATCTTAACATTCGGGAGAATTTGATGTAAGAAAGACATTATAGTGTTTGAAACAAAATGTAAATGGGGGGGGGGGGATGTGAAGAATTTAAAATTCGATTTTTTTTCCATTTTTTCTTTGTGACATTTTAACTTTCCTTAGACAAATAGTATTTTCCATCTTCATAGTACTTGATAAACAGAACAGCTATAGGCCAGAGGGTTACACAACTAAATAGAATTAGTTCATGTTATGTTCATGTTCATGTTCATGTTCATGTTCATGTTCATGTTCATGTTCATGTTCATGTTCATGTTCATGTTCATGTTCATGTGCATGTGCATGTGCATGTTCAATGTTCATGTTCATTTTTTTCTATGACAAACGTTTATCCATCTAGAATTGAACAAATTGCAGCCATCTTCTTGCTAAAAGTAAGAAAGAAAAACTGGTAAACTCAATTTAAATAGTTACGCCATATTCTAATGGTAACCTTTATGTGACTGAAAACGCAGAAAGAATTTCCGTTTTCCCAAATATGGGTTTTCTACAAAATTTAGTTTAAAAGTTTAAATGGCATCATTGAGAACATTAGGGTCCCGAATATTTAGAGACTTCTCGAATTATCAAAAAAATGTTGTTCTTTTACTGGATAAGGTGATTTTTGCTCACCAGACAAATGTGATGGAATGGAGAATGAGACGGAGGTAGTTGAAGAGAAGAGATTTTATACCGTTACATTGAGACATTTCCTCTACTATCTCCGCACCCTAATTAGTAACACGGAAAATCATTTTTAAAAAAACAGAACAATAATAAAAACAATGCCAATAACAATGGAGAAAAAACATATACAATGAAAATGTGACAACGACATAAAAAATAACAATAACAATTATTAAAAAAAAAACACTAATAATGACAATAACGATTTAGGAAAAATATGGAGGAATAAAATTTTAGGATAAAAATAGTTGATTAATTTCCAAAGTTATTCTAGCAGTTAAATTCAAGTTCTTTGAAGGGTTTACAAAAAGGAACTTTGAATACAAAGGAATGTTTACAACAAATCGGTAAACGCATCATTCGACCTAGAAGAAACTGATTTACTGTTTATCTGACCTAAAATTGTATCGGATCTTAAAATGGGATGGAATCCGGGAGTTAGACATATTCATAATGTGAGGTTAATTTATATTAGTTCGGCTACCTTCTAGGTCAGTATCCAATGGGATCGTTTAGCTCGGATACCTTTTAGGCCAGTTTCCATTAGATCTTTTAGTTCGGATACCCATTAGGTCAGTTACCATGGCGTATATCACAAATCTACCTTATTCTTCAAGTTCTCGTAATGCCTGGAGGTAAAGAACTCGTAGATGAAGAAGGGCCAGGGAACAAGGATAAAGAAGAGTGTATAACCAAACTTAGACTGAGGATCCATCTATACCAGCCTCAAGTTCAAGCTTTATCTCTGGTTTATAAAGGGATGGGGGGCATGCACCCCCCCCCCTCCCTCGTTAACGAGGAGTTGGAATTAAGGAGATGAGGGTTTGTTTAAACTCTACAGTAAACATAAGACTGCTCTAAAACTTTGTTAATTGAAAACAATCAAGATGTTCGGTACTTTCCAACGTGTAAACTTCCCAAGGGTACTTTCCCAAATGCATTTTCCCACGTGTAACCTTCCCAAGGGTACTTTCCCAGGAGGCAAGTTCCCAAATGTGCAATTACCCAAGTCTGTTGTAGTCGCAGCGCTCGCCCCCCCCCCCCCACCATTGCAGCCTTCGCAGCCTCAGAGGGCCTAACCTATCCTTCAAGAAGTTAAAGTAAAATGAAAACAATCTGTATCTATCTCTCTAAGTTTTTCTATGATTGGGTGATGTTTAATGAAATGAAATTTGACGTGAGAATTGTAAGATTGGAAAATGTTAAGATTAGGCTCTTCTTCTATCTAGTTTAAATCTCAAGAGAGTTTGCAAGGTATTACTCACGGTCAAAGATTTGCTTTAAAAGATTTGGAATTTAGGAGGAAAGGCATATATAATATAGAAATATGAATTTAAGGATTCCTTCAGTGGAAAACATTTGATGGTGATGTTATTTCCTTTCTCCCAGTTCGCTTCTTCACAGTCAAATGCAGTATCATTGTAAATACCTAGATCAACACAACATCAGTCGAAAACTAATAATAAAAGATTTTTTTTATAAAATAGTTTTATCATTTCTAATTCAGGGTTCTGTTGGGTGTCCGAAAAATAGGTGTTTTTCTGCAATAAAAACCCTAATTCTGCAGGGATCTTTTTTATACTTTTAAAAAAAATTATTCCTCAGAAATATTTGGTTTCAAACGATATCAAGTTAAGATAAAACATTATTCTGACGTGTTGACCCATTTTACCACTGAAACAAGGCTTTAGGTGAAAATGTAAGAAAATATATCAGATGTAACAGGACTAATAATGCAAAATAAGGCGCCAAAAACCCTAACTACTGCTTCTTGGGACACACTGTATATTAAAAAAGATTTATTTATATTGTATTGTTGTTGATTGCCTGGGTAGGTATCCGTTACACAAGTATCCTCGGAGATCTCAAGCTTCCCAACCAACTCATTGAAATATCGAATCATTATCAGAATATCAGACCCTGAAATATCAGATCATTATCAGAATATCAGACCCTGAAATATCAGATCATTATCAGAATATCAGACCCTGATGACAACAAAGAGGGACTGTTCACGCTCTCCAAGTGAACCCTATTTAAAAAGTTGCAAGCCTGATAAACAACGGTTCCCTTAAATCCTAATATATGATCAATAGTGTGGAAGAATTTGCGTTTTTCTAGCTTAAAGTGTCTTTTTCTGACAAGTTCTTCCATTATTTCTTTTGCAAAAATCAAAACCCCACAATTTAAAAAAACCAATTTTCAATGAGAAATCATGGATATCTCATTTAATCTTGATCAGACTAAGCTTTTGATTAATAGTACTGTAAATCGGACACGACAATTGGAGGGTTCCTTGAAAATATGTCAACAGGGTCCCTTGAAAATATGTCAACAAGGTCCCTTGAAAATATGTCAACAGGGTCCCTTGAAAATATATCAACAAGGTCCCTTGAAAATATGTCAACAAGGTCCCTTGAAAATATGTCAACAAGGTCCCCTTGAAAATATGTCAACAGGGTCCCTTGAAAATATGTCAACAAGGTCCCTTGAAAATATATCAACTAGGTCCCTTGAAAATATGTCAACAAGGTCCCTTGAAAATATATCAACAAGGTCCCTTGAAAATATGTCAACAAGGTCCCTTGAAAATATATCAACAGGGTCCCTTGAAAATATGTCAACAAGGTCCCTTGAAAATATATCAACAGGGTCCCTTGAAAATATATCAACAGGGTCCCTTGAAAATATATCAACAGGGTCCCTTGAAAATATATCAACAAGGTCCCTTGAAATATGTCAACAAGGTCCCTTGAAAATATGTCAACAGGGTCCCTTGAAAATATATCAACAGGGTCCCTTGAAAATATATTAACAAAGTTTCTTGAAGGAACTGCCCATAAAATCATCTTAAATTTCTTGTCCATGATTTCAAAAATCATGAAGGAAGGCAAAAATAAACTCGACATTTAATCGATTATCCGATTTTCTTCCTTTTTGTTAATTTTTGAATAAAATTTACTTTTGATTATTAATCAAAGTTTTATCAATTTCAAATATTGTTATTTGATTAAGAACTGATATTTTTCTTTTTTCATAAGAATTTTCTGTTAACAATATTAATATTAATTTTCACATTAATTAATTAAACATTCATAAAATGTGAAAAATGATAATTTTATTACGATTTTCTTTTCACAATTATGTTTATTCTAACACTAATAAAATATCAAAAAAAGATATAAGTGAGAAATTCTGTTTACAGTTAATTTTATATTTCCAGATATTGTAGGTTATAAAACATTATTAAATATGAAAAATGATAAATCTCATACGTCATTAATATTTCGCCTCACAATCAAGTATTTCAACACTAACGTTTAAGAAGGAATATGATTGTTAAATCTGTCAAAAGTCTGAGATATTAGACACAAAAATTGCAAATGAAATCTAAGGTCTTTGCAATTTTGTAGAGAAAAATCATGTCATGAAAAACAGGGGAGGGGGGCCGGGTGGCTCGACAACCTCTGGCCTTGTGTAACCAAGAAAAGAATGCTCTTGGTATGAAAAATGTAAACCTGTTAATCATACCTGTGTCTATTGCATTAAATATAAGAGAGAGGAATAGAGTTGAGAAAAATAATTTGGACCAGATCTTCCCCTTCTCAGCCTTAAAAAAATAAAAATAGTTGTTAAAGGGACTGTTAACGAAGTTTAAAGTGACTCTTCTTGCACAAATGGCAATGCCAATTTACAACAGTGTCCTTAAAACATCAATAATGTCGAAGATACTGTCGTTTTTCTAGGTTTTAAATTGTTCAATTCCGACAAAGTCAAAGCTTTTAAGGGTATCAATGTGAATCAGGCATTGCCATCTTTGCATGGAGGGTAACTTGAAACTACGCTTACAGTCCCCTTAAGGGATTGTTTTAGCTAAGGTTAAAGAAAAGAGATAAATCGCTTAGTTTTTACAAAACTTTGAATATTGTAAATAAAAAGCTGAAAGAATTATTTTGATTAATTTGATTTTATATATATCTACATATTTCTTGATGGACTTTTTAAAAGATGATAGATTTGGAGAACATTTTTTATTCTAATCAGCAAATATCATCTTATTTTTGAGAATTTTCACCCAAAAATTTAATTATTTTCTCGATTCAGCGTTAAAAGATCCTAAATACTACCCTTAAACGTTCCTAGTTCCGAAAACAATGACATTTGATCCGGGACTTGTTGGTACGTTACTTGTTAAAGTCGATACGGGAGGTCCATAAATACGACTCCTACCTTGAGTTCTCGAACAGTTTTGGGAATCCCCTGCAGTGCTCGGCTCTGCTCATTTATTATTGCAGCTTCGGCAGAGGACTTCAGCTGAGATCTAAACACGGACAACAAAAATGTAAAATAAAATTATTGTTTACCTGATGAATTTATGTTAATATTACACGGGTGTGGTATTTAAAAACATCGTTTTTCTATCATCATTGGATCTTCAGTAGTTCAGCCAATTGTCAAGTTTATTTCAGAAAATGTTCTAAGCTGTGTTCTCTTCCAATGTAGATATTGAGATAAATACATGATCTCAATTTACATTCCAGGATGTCAACAACTCCGTTTCTGAGACCCCAGGGAAAAGGACTCTTGACAAACCTCTGTACATCTCTTAGATGTTGAAGCACACATCTACAATGTGTTCCTTCAGAGATAAAGAGACATATGAAACCTTTGTATTAGTTGCTGCATTATGTAATACTGATATCGACAGCTAAGAGCTGTGACCCCCTCTACCTCCTCACGCAGACTTCTCTCTCCACAATCAGGAGGAGAAGGATTGGCGCGAACCCTCTACCTACATCCCAGAGCGAGTTCGCGCCTCAGAAGCATTTCCTCAGATCTCTGCAGGTAGAGCTTGTATTTTTATAAACTCTATATACCAAAAGTCTTATTCTGAAGATTAATTTAATCTTTGACCCGCAGTGCAATTGTACGCTGAAAAAATAACTGAAATGAAGAGATTAGGCATTGATTCTAAAATTTAAAGTGTCCACAATGGGTTTCTATATCAAGCGATCGGAATTTAAAGTTTTCAACACAAAAGTTCCCAGCTCAGGTTTCCAGAGTACTTGATTTCTTTTGGGATATCATTTCACATGGAGATGCATCTAATAGTAAAACAAGAAACTTCAGATTTAAAAGATCACTGGACATCTTGGTTTGTTTTTCATTAGATCATTATCTTCCCATCAGGGACTTCCTTTAATGTAATGCACAGAATAAAATCAGCTAAGGCTTAACTAAACTAACTGAATTCAGAACTTTACATTGATCTCTCTTATGCATACAAATTTACAAATGAATTTGATTCCTCTTCAAGAAACCGTGGTAGTCATAAGGCTAACTTAAACTGAGGAATCAAGTTTTTACTCTCAAATTTATAAGTGCCTACATTTGATATCGAGATCAAGCGTGAAGGATTAACGACTAATGGTAGTTGATGTAATGTTAAAAAAATCTTTGTCACCTATACTACAGAGCGTATTTTATTCTGGGAGATTGAAAAATTTATAGTAAGTCTTATTTTTTGGAAAACTCAATGAAGAATTCAATGATAATTGAATTAATTGATTGATTAAGAACTTATTTGATCAATGATCATTGATCAAATTACCTGAGACATCTTTGTAGTTTGAGCTGGTCAGATTCATGGGTCAACTCACTACACACAATTTATCAATCAAATTATAGAAATGTATTTATAAATTGATTTTTATTATTCTATTAATGGATGAATTTATTAATCATTTGAGTGCTTGATTGATTGATTGTTGCCTGAGACAATGAATTTCTATTTCTTTTCTTAGAATTAGAAGTTTCTGCTCCTCCAGTTCCGGACCCTAGATAATTCAATAATACAGTTCCGGACCCTAGATAATTCAATAATTCAGTTCAGGACCCTAGATAATTCAATAATTCAGTTCAGGACCCGAGATAATACAAAAATACAATTCAGTAGCCTAGTGACTAAAATAATACAGTTCAGAACCATAGATAATACAATAATTCAGTTTAGGACCATAGATAATACAATAATTCAGTTTAGGGCCCTAGATAATACGATACAGTTTAGAAGCATGGATTTAACCAAATTGAGGTGCTATATACCTGAATTGCTACCATATGTAGCAAGGTTTGATCATACTTGTTTCTACTGTGAATAAATCTCTCAAGAAAGTTGGAATCGTCCGTTTTGGAAAACCTAAAACAAAGTTTAAAAAATGCTAATTTTACAAATAATAAACGATCGTTGACCATCACTTCATAGAAATCTGGGCCACGCCATCTTTAAATATAACCAAAGGAGGGAAATTACTTTCAAAGTTTGGTTTATCAAAATGGCGATTTGCAAGGGCGTCCCCAGTCACCACCCAACTGAAAACTAACAATCATCTAGACCAGTCCAGTATATAAAAAAGTATAAATTCAATTTATTTTTTTAATCAGTTATCTCTTTTTACTTACAAATGGAAAATTTTAACAATAACTTGAAGTCTAAGAAAATGTTACTTAAAAGTTTATTATCTTTTTATTTTTAATCTTTTATATATACATTATTACTTTCTGTCAATTAATCTTTAAATTTGATTCTGACGATTAAACTTCCAACCCCCCCCCCCTCTCATACTTTAAGGAAGCTAAATGTGAAAAAAAAATATTTTTGAAGTTGGAAATATAGGGAAATAAGACATAAAAAGCTACTGAAAAATAAAAATTAATCACTTAATTTTTATCTCTATTTTGCCCAAAAATAATTCATCCCCCCCCCCCCTCCCCATCCTTCTCCTTCAAATATAATGTTTTCTTCGGTAATTATGAAATGTTTTTATAATAGCTGAATTAGGGGAAAATACTAATGGGACTATAGAAGTGATTTTAGGTAACCTTCCAAAAAAGAGTAGCAAATCCAATTCACACTAGTCGAATACCCACAACAATAATAAACCAATTTCGACTGAAAAAAGATGTCTATTTATCAATCCTTAATCAAATAAAGGTTTGAAGGGTACCATTGTGAATCTGACATGCCAGTTCATTAAAGGACGGTCAGTCCCTTTAAGAATTTAATATACCTTGCGCTTCGAAGCACATCAGAAACAAGATCTTTGTGCCGAAGTTTTGCTGCGATCATGACAGGATTGTCTCCTAAAAAAAAAATTATAACTTTAAGATTTTGGAAAAACAAGATTTTAGGCAAGACTATTTCTTTGTTATGAGCCCCCCCCCCCCTCTTCCAATAAAAGTTGTAGAATCGTATTTATTTGATTATAAAAAACAAGGACTAAGCCATTTAAGTCCTAACCTTGAATCCAAGATATTGAAATGACATTAAGATATGTAAAATTGGGCCCCTTTCCTTTTGTAGTTTTTCAGCCCCCCCCCCCCCCTATCGTGAAAAAGTTATTGTTCAATTCCTTGTTATGGTAAGTACTAAGATAGAATCATAGATAAATAATTGATAGTCACGAAAGTTCACTGTTTCCATGAAAAATGTCCCCCCCCCCTCTCTCCTTTTCAACAAACATTTCTTAAGGTTTTAATTCGATATATTAGAGAAAACAAATAATTTTTAGGGGTAATACAACTTTTTTTTTGGGGGGGGGGGAAGATTACCTTACAAACATACACCCCTGGCTATCTTTTAAAAAAAAAGGGCGAGAATGTCCACGTCAAATCTATAAAGTTGAATTCTAGAACCTGCGATTAAATCCAGAAGATATAGAGAGCAGAGACGTACGTTTGTTTTGTCCCAAACATCATCTAGCAAGCAAATAACGAAACAGAAAATCACCTGTTTCCGGGTCCTGGTAGTTCAGATCCTCATCTGTGCAGGAAACACTTTCCATCACCATCTTGAAATGCGCAATATTGTTCGCGAGCGCACACTGCTGAAGGATGTATCCTGTCTTGAAGAACAGGTTCTTGATGTCGGAGAAGAGCTCGAACAGCTCCTGGCTGGATCCAGTGACAAAGTCGCAAAAGCGGGGAATAGCGCGATATTTACGACAGACACGCTGTACGTTCATTTTACTTTCGTACATAATTTTATCTAAACAGACAATACAATTTTATTACACAATACACAATGTTGTACAACGATCATACATTTTGTAGTTAGGTTTAAAAACAACAGTAGACGTAATTTCAAGTGACCTTAATTCTACAGAGCGTCCCATATGATATTAGATTATATCCAAGTTTTACCGTCAAAATAAACCTATAATACTCGACAAACCTAGCCTTTTTATGCAAGCAAATTCTTACATTAGCCTTATTAATTTTTCAAAATGTAGAGCGCATGTCCAATTCACGTGAGTACCCTTTAATCCACAATCTACGCATTAAGGAACAACTTATATCGTCACGTTTCCTGTCAAGAAAAGAATTCCCTTTCTATAAAGAGAACCGCAATTTAAAGATAATCAATTTTCAGAGGGAGAGGGATAACTCATCCATTATTTATGGCTGGCGAATCGGAAATGTGAATCGGAATGTGAATCGGGAACGTGAATCGGAAAAATAAATCGGAAATGTAAATCGGAAATGTGAATTGGAAAAGTAAATCGGAAATGTGAATCGGAAATGCAAATCGGAAATGTAAATCGGAAATGTGAATTGGAAAAATAAATCGGAAATGTAAATCGTAAAAGTAAATAGGAAATGTAAATCGGAAATGTGAATCGGAAATGTGAATCAGAAATGTATATCGGAAATGTGAATCGGAAATGTGAATCGGAAAAGAAAATCGGAAATGTGAATCGGAAATGTGAATCGGAAATGTGAATCGGAAATGTGAATCGGAAATGTATATCGGAAATGTGAATCGGAAAAGTATATCGGAAATGTGAATCGGAAAAGTAAATCGGAAATGTGAATCGGAAATGTGAATCAGAAATGTGAATCAGAAATGAGAATCGGAAATGTGAATCGGAAATGTATATCGGAAATGTGAATCGGAAATGTATATCGGAAATGTGAATCGGAAATGTAAATCGGAAATGTGAATCGGAAAAGTAAATCGGAAATGTGAATCGGAAATGTAAATCGGAAATGTGAATCGGAAAAGTAAATCGGAAATGTGAATCGGAAATGTGAATCGGAAATGTTAATAGGAAATGCCGCTCTTTAAAAAGGTCACTGTAAATTCGTCTTTACCCCATCTAATGGCAGCTAGATTTCCAAAATTTGATGATGACAAAAGGGGCTTACTGTAAGCGCAATTTTCAGTGACCCTCCATGCAAAGATGGCAATGCCCACGCCCAGATCACAAGCTTTGATCAGGTCTGAATCAGATTTTTTATTTTAAAAAAAGGTTTTTTGTCATTTGGTGTTTTCCCTACAGAAGTGACTTGCACATTTTTGTACCGCAGGAATTATCAGAATTAACAGTTGAAAATTAGAAAAAAAGATCTTTCCCATTATTGATCAGATATAGGATTAAAGGGTACCATTGCCATCTTTGTCTGGAGGGACGCTTACAGCCCCTTTCCGAATGTTTACGATTACCTAAAGGGAGTGAATCCCCGTGTCCAATTTGTCCAAGTTTTAAAATATCTCTAAAATATCCTAAATCAATAATACAAATTATTTCAGTAAATAAAATCTTTTTAAAAGAATTTTTTATCAACAAAATCTGTTTTCCAAGGGGGAATGTTTTCTTGGTCACCCCCCCCCCCAATAAATTTTGTCACTTGGATAACAAACAGTATTTGTTTTCTTTAAAATTCTCAGTGATTTATCTTAAATCAAAAGTAAAAATCACGACAACAATCATTCCTGGTACAGCAGAACCCATTAAACTATGAAAAAGGAAGAAAAAATTTCCGCCATCTTGTTTGTGTGTGATTAAGGTTGTTTAAACGCAAATATTTTTACTGGAATTTAAATTTTAAGTTCATAACTTTTACAGGCACCTTCATATTCCACATCTTTAGGGGCCTCACTGTACAATACTGTTATTATTTTACAAATTGAGTTTTAAGAGCATATTTCTTCTTTATAATTAATAAATCAATAATTTGTATTTCCTAGAAGAATAATGGGTGCAAGAATCTTTTTGGAATGTTTATCAAGACGTTTCCATTCAAACTCCCAGATATTTTCGTCCAAGCTGGCCGAACAACTACTACTGGACGACTCCTTGTCCTTCTGAACCTATATTAGTAATATCAATTTAAAGAGACAGTTCGACAAATTAGCAATATCAAGTTAAAGAGACAGCTCGACAAATTAGCATTATCAAGTTAAAGAGACAGTTCGACAAAAGATAAAGTTTCGGGGCTAGGAAATAGGAAGTAGGAAGTAGGAAGCTACAGGGTGAACCACAAAGGATAAGACTGTTAAAAACTATTTGAAGCTCTTAAAATACGACGAATCCAATCTTCTAATGACTTATTTAATGATTTTACAGTAGCAGGGAATCATGAATATAAGGAAACGGACAGTTTAAATTCTGTACAGTCGTCTCTGAAGTCTCATCCTTTGTGGGTAACCCTGTATGTCAACTCAAGTAGATAGTAATCCTTGATCTTTGAGGGATTGTGATGGCATAACCCGTCCAGATCAAGAAGCTGCTGGACAATCCAAAGCTTCTTGAATTGAATTGAAAATTCGTTAAAATGGTTTTATAAATATAAAACAACTTTACGTAACAAAGTTTTTTTTTACAGCATACCAAAAGAAAAAGCCAGAAAAGAAGAATATTGGAAAAAATACTAGCTGCTAAAAATGATATTTTTTTTTTAAAAAATCACAATTTGTTAACATATACCCATATAACACAAGACAATTTTTTCTTCTTGGCAAAGAGTGTTGCCTCTTTCCTTGCTCTTTACGGGATTAAAATTTTTTTTTAACATTATCCTTATCATGTCTATATTTTCATTTCATATAAAGGTAAATTTTAACAATACTCAGAAAACTAAATCCTATATTAATTGTAAATTTCAATGTTTTTATAAGTTTAAAACTTTTTAAAAGTTTAAAACAGGTCAAAAAATAATAAAAGTAGTTTCTCAATCAGAAAATACCAACTTACGACTAGAAATATTTGTCTAAGACAATATTAAAGAACTTAATCAGGAAAAGAAAACAAAGAAAGAAACAAATTTCTATGACAAATACCCTACCCATTACAACAAAAAAAGAAATTTTCTTTTAATAATTAACATATTTTGAAACTAATATTTTAAAAGGATGGAGTGCGAGGAGGGGGAAGGGGGATGATTCAATAAAAACATATGTACAAAATTAATTTTGAGTTAGGGGAGGGGGGGGAGGGGTCGTCTTTTAGGAGGAGGTCTAATTCACTCCAAAACCTGATGATGATTTCACTAACAACCTCCGGCAGGGATCCGATCATGCAAACTGAAGTAAAATTTGAAAATAAAAAAAAAATAAAAAACCTGGAACTTCTTGACCTGCATGCAGACGACGAGGAAGTCGAAGGAGATGATCTTCAGAAGGTTCTGCTTGTCCTTGCTCAGCATCATCAGTCGGAAAGGGTGTCCATCCAGGAAAAATCTAAAGAAAAGAATTCGTCAATTTCTTTCTTCTTAAATTCTTTATGTTGGTTTCTACTCAAGTGATTATGTGTAAGGGATCAGGTATATGTCCAGTTGTCGGCGTTTATACCAGTACAACGAAGACGACTTTTTTCAAATTACAAGATTACAAGTTTTTAAGTAGACAAAGAAAGCTGTTAATTGGCAACTTCTCTATGTTTCCATGTTTCCTTGTATGTATCCATGCTATTTTAAATCTAGGTAGAAATATAACATTAAAATCTAAAGTCGTCTTTATTGTATTGATATATACAATTGTACATTATACTGTGACGTATTGTGACTGCCCAGAAACAAGTCAAAAGTCCGGTTTCCTACCCCTCCTCCAACTATTCCGACTAGTTCTGATAAAACTAGATCGTATTGAGTCTTTGACACAAACTCAAATTTTCCAATCCATCCTTTTAAACCTTTAATATTTCAAACCTAGATTATTTTATCTATGAGAATTCATTGTTTGAAATATTTAATATCTACAAATTGAAATTCAACTTTTATCATTATATTTTATCAAATATTAGCTTGGGAACCCAGCGTTGCCCAGGTTACCCTTACCCAATACTTAGAGTTAATCCCGCCGTTTACCCGCATTTGGTCGGGAAACTTAATAAGTGCTTAAAGTCGATTCACTCCACTTAGACTCTCAAACCCGAGCTGAAAACATTTCCGTGGTTCTCCCGAGTTCCCCAATCAAAATTTGAGTCAAATCGGTCAAGGGGTTCATGAGTTAGAATTGGACATACAAGCAAACCAACAGACAAACAAAGATTAAAACTTTATAAATAAAATGCAGGTAACATTAGTTCCAAACAGCAATAAGAAATTAGCCATAACCCTGGTTTGGAATTAATGTCCCCTAAACTGGTGAAATTTAATGCACAGATAAAAAGATTAAAAAAGACGGATACAGAGCGTTCTCAATCTGAAAGCTGTGTTGACCGACCTAAAGTATCCCTCATGGCTAGATACTAGACTGTAAGTGTAGGATTCATGCCGCGTCTTTATAGGTTTATCTGGTCGCGAGGTTAAACCGCTGTCATCACTCGCCCGCCGGTCTTCTCGACCTCCGCCTCCGCCAGGGATAACACTTCGGATACAGTGCATACAGTCCTTAACACGAGAAATATTATAAACAAGCACTAGTACATAGGTTTATTTCAAGCAGTGTTTAAGATCCATTTGATTTTAATGCGGAACCGTTTCCTGAATCCACAGTGGAAAAAAAGGAACCAGATCTAGCTCAATCCGGATCCGGATCCAGGCAATGAACATTACTTTAAGATTTAATGATTTATTTAACAAAAGCAGAATTTTAGAGTTTTCCCCGTTTTTTTAAACTTATTTTATGCTAAAACTTTATGATTATCAGAGAGATGAGGAAATTTTTAATAATCTTTCTTTATTTAACAGTTCAGACTTGGGTTTTGATAGCAAAAGATTTACATTTTTTGCAGTTTTTTTGTTGATATTTTGCCCCTTGGATCCGGATCCGTTGATCCAAAATGTTGCGGAAGCGGATCTTAAGCACTGATATCGAGATTTTGAAATTATCAGATCTGCAAATAAATGTTTTTTTAAAATCTCAATTTATCCGTCTATAGGGTTTGATAAAAAACCATGTTGATCATTTTAAATCAAACAATCTTGGGTTATATTATCTTTTGATTTTTTTAAAAGATATTTTGTTGTGGAAAATTTTACATAATCTTTTTTAATTGTCTATAAAATCAAAATGCTAAGAAAGGTGGTATTCCTGATTTTCAAAATCTTTTATTTTTTCGATGTCATTGTCAAGTTCCCGCTTAGTTTTGAAAATAATTATTTTTCCAGAGATAAATTATGATATAAAGAAAAATAAACAATCCATTGCAGTATACATATATTCTGCAGTATAGAATTTTTTCAAGAACTAGACATACTAACAATTGTTTACAACAACAACATGGTTAATTTCTACCCCTTATATCAATCAATCAACATTTGGGATCGTATTAGATGGAATTATATGGACCCCTGTAGTCTCTCTTGTATGTACTACAGGGTGTCCCGGCAGTCACTCTTATATGTACTACAGGGTGTCCCGGTAGTCACTCTTGTATGTACTACAGGATGTCCCGGTAGTCACTCTTGCATGTACTACAGGATGTCCCGGTAGTCACTCTAATATGTACTACAGGACGTCCCGGTAGTCACTCTTGTATGTACTACAGAGTGTCCCGGTAGTCAATCTTATATGTACTACAGGGTGCTCCGGTAGTCACTCTTGTATGTACTACAGGGTGCCCCGGTAGTCACTCTTTGTACTAGAGGGTGCCCCGGTAGTCAATCTTGTATGTACTACAGGGTGCCCCGGTAGTCACTCTTGTATGTACTACAGGGTGCCCCGGTAGTCACTCTTATATGTACTACAGGATGTCCCGGTAGTCACTCTTGTATGTACTACAGGGTTTCCCGGTAGTCACTCTTGCATGTACTACAGGGTGCCCCGGTAGTCACTCTTATATGTACTACAGGATGTCCCGGTAGTCACTCTTGTATGTACTACAGGGTGTCCCGGTAGTCACTTTTATATGTACTACAGGGTGTCCCGGTAGCCACTCTTGTATGTACTACAGGGTGTCCCGGTAGTCACTCTTATATGTACTACAGGGTGTCCCGGTAGTCACTCTTATATGTACTACAGGGTGCCCCGGTAGTCACTCTTGTATGTACTACAGGGTGCCCCGGTAGTCACTCTTGTATGTACTACAGGGTGCCCCGGTAGTCACTCTTATATGTACTACAGGATGTCCCGGTAGTCACTCTTGTATGTACTACAGGGTGCCCCGGTAGTCACTCTTGAATGTACTACAGGGTTTCCCGGTAGTCACTCTTGCATGTACTACAGGGTGCCCCGGTAGTCACTCTTATATGTACTACAGGATGTCCCGGTAGTCACTCTTGTATGTACTACAGGGTGTCCCGGTAGTCACTTTTATATGTACTACAGGGTGCCCCGGTAGTCACTCTTGTATGTACTACAGGGTGTCCCGGTAGTCACTCTTATATGTACTACAGGGTGTCCCGGTAGTCACTCTTGTATGTACGCCAGGGTGTCCCGGTAGTCACTCTTATATGTACGCCAGGGTGTCCCGGTAGTCACTCTTGTATGTACTAGAGGGTGCCCCGGTAGTCAATCTTGTATGTACTACATGGTGCCCCGGTAGTCACTCTTGTATGTACTACAGGGTGCCCTGGTAGTCACTCTTGTATGTACTACAGGATGTCCCAGTAGTCTCTCTTATATGTACTACAGGGTCTTATATGTACTACAGGGTGTCCCGATAAATAATTCCAAAGTAATGTGGTCTACCATTTTCACACCTTATGAATTGACGGACTTATCGAGATTTCCATTTTATTCATTAACAAATAAAATGGTTCAAATGTTTGATATCTAATTTAAAAACTTAATGATATTAAGAAGTCAGACCACACTTTGAAGAGTTCAGAATACATATAATCATTTTATGACACAGTTTTTATCATTTTATCAAATATCGGAAATAAAAGACGATTTTTAAGTCGTCTCTTGATTTCCATAGACAACGAAGTTGACGAACCTGTCCTGTGCACTCCCTATGAGGTTGCTCCCAATGATGATTAAGAAGGGTGGCACCGACAATATCAGACTGTCCATCTAATAAAAAAATACAATTTAAAAAATGTTATTAAAAATCTAGAGAATATATTCTGAAAGATGTTCAATTTCAGAATCGTTTTTGTGCTACTAAAAATAGAATCTAAGCGAAACCAGAACAAAATAATAATATAACATTATAGCCAAAACAATCAATTATTGATCAAGTCAAAATCAATATATAACACAATCAATACAAGCAATGCAATCAATGCAATCAATGCAATCAATGCAATCAATGCAATCAATGCAATCAATGCAATCAATGCGATCAACGTGATCATTGAGATCAATGCGATCAGTGAAACCAGTGAAACCAGTGAAACCAGTGAAACCACTGAAACCAATGAAACCAATGAAACCAATTAAACCAATGAAAACAATGAAACCAATGAAACCAATGAAACCAATGAAACCAATGAAACCAATAAAAACATTGAAATTAACAAAAACATTGAGATCAGTAAAATCAATGAAATCAATGCAATCAATGCAATCATTGAAATCAATGAAATCAGTGAAATCAATGAAATCAATGAAATCCATGAAATCAATGAAATCAATGAAATCAATGAAATCAATGAAATCAATGAAATCAATGAAATCAATGAAATCAATGAAATCAATGAAATCAATGAAATCAATAAAATAAAATAAAATAAAATCAATCACCTTGAAGATATCTATGAATGAGATCAAACATCATATTTCTCTCTGTAAGAGAGTCCAAGAGGAAGATGACCTAAATCAAAAGTTTTACAAATACATCAATATATTTTTTAACATTTCATTTGGATTTTTGCCAAATCGATCCTGATATTTTAATAAGAATGTCCAACATGAAAAACAGTGTTCTAAACTTACTTTGAGAAGATATAGATATATATATACATATAGTATTAAATAGTATTTCCCTTAAAAACTCCAGAAATCCAGATTTTCATCTTTTCTTTTCTTGCCGATAATGACTTAACACCATAAAAAAATAAAATTGAACATAAAACAATTAGGAGGGGGGGGGGGGGTGAGTTATTAATCTGTAAACACTAACCTTAATTTCGTCGGCATCCTCTCTTTTAATTGGATCTATCGTTACAGATATTTCAGATACGGATGAGATGTTCCGATGATGAGCCTTAAAATAAAGCATTAATATTAAATACTAGGCTTTTAGGGCGCTTTACACCCAACCTCTATTTCAACTTTTAATTGTGGCTCTTTCTGTGAGCATATTTTTTTTGTACAGTATAAAAGCATAACAAAAAAAGTTCACGGATTTTTTTTTTAATTTCACAAAAATCAAAACCTTTTGGACACAACTTTTTGTAATTGTGAGCATCCATAAACCTTCCCTGAGTCATGCGATTGCAAGGTCACACGCAAAATTTGGGCCCGATCGGTTCAGCCGTTTTGACGTTTATTGGATACAAACAAACAGACAAACAGACAAGCAAAGTATATATAAAATACATAGATGACCACATAAAATGTGATTGGTGTCGTCTTGTCCAACTCATTGATATCTTTTATTTTTTTAGAAAAAAAACGAAACTTTTTTCTTTTTTAAGTACAGAAAAACAAAAATTATTTGATACCTGAAAGGCTTTCTTTTCCACCATTTTTTTTGAATATGGATTCAACGACATACATGGATCATATGGCGAAGCATTATTAAAATATATATTTGTTCACTTCGCATCCTGAAATATACATTATAGCCATTAGTGTGTTAAAATATATATTTGTTCACTTCGCATCCTGAAATATACATTATAGCCATTAGTGTGTTAAAATATATATTTGTTCACTTCGCATCCTGAAATATATATTATAGCCATTAGTGTGTTAAAATATATATTTGTTCACTTCGCATCCTGAAATATATATTATAACCATTAGTGTGTATTTGTTCACTTCGCATCCTGAAATATATTATAGCCATAAGTGTGTTAAAATATATATTTGTTCACTTCGCATCCTGAAATATATTATAGCCATTAGTGTGTTAAACATATATTTGTTCCCACCCCAAAGGAGTAAGTAAAGATTATTGACAAATAAAATAAAATTTCAATCAACCATAATCATATCTACTACTACCTGTTGGGTAGCCACTATTAAGCGACCACCTAGTCTGAAGTTTCTAAATTTAGTTCTCAAGACGACTGCACCTCCTTTAGCATAACATCTGAAAGTAAGGAATAACATCATCTAATTGTTAACCAACTTAATTTTAAATGCTAGCTGAAAAACCTGGCGTTAACTGAGGAATTGAATTCAAAAAATCGAATATTGAAAAAAAATTCGAATGTGCCTTTAGTTACCCTAGAGACATCCATGGGTTCCTTAAACAAGTTCAAACCATTTGGTTCAGCTGTTTGGTATCATCTATATATACAATTTGCTTGTCTGTTTGGGTGTCTGCCCGTTTGTATCCAATAAAAGTCAAAACGGCTGAACCAATGGGGCCCAAACTTTTTCAAATGATCGAATTTTCAAAACAAACAAAATTAGATTTTTGAAAACTTTTAAAAATCTCCAAATTTTTATGAAATCCGCGAAATTTTTGTTTGTTTTTCTATTAAATGTATACAAAGAGAAAAGACGGGCGGGAATCGCCCTAAAATCCTGGTGTATATAAATTTGTTTGGATGAGCAAGAAGGTTTATTATATAGATTTAAGGAACTAAACGCCCTCAACCAGTTTTCTGTACATAATTAATGCTCTGGTGTGTTTCCTGTACACTATCAGTACTCTAATTGTGTTTAACGTACATAATCAGTGCTCTACTTGTGTTTATTATACATAATCAGTGCTCTACTTGTGTTTATTGTATATAATCAGTACTATACTTTTTTTTCTGTACATAATCAGTCCTCTAATCGTGTTTTATTTTCATAATCAATGTTCTACTTGTGATTTCAGTACGTAATCAGTGCTCTACTTGTGTTTTATGTAAATAATCTGTGTTCTAGTTGTGTTTTATATATATTATCAGTGTTCTACTTGTATTGTATGTACATAATCAGTGTTCTACTTGTGTTTTATGTAAATAATCAATATTCTACTTGTACTTTATGTACATAATCAGTGTTCTACTTGTGTTTAATGTGAATAATCAGTGTTCTACTTGTATTTTATGTACATAATCAGTGTTCTACTTGTGTTTTATGTAAATAATCAGTGTTCTACTTGTATTGTATGTACATAATCAGTGTTCTACTTGTGTATTATGTAAATAATCAGTGTTCTTCTTGTACGTTCTGAACAGAAACAGTACTATAATTGGTTTTTTTTTTGCATTATCGGAGTTCAACTTGCATACATTTTCATCTATGTTTTCCACACTAGCTAACGCTACTCATTTCATTTAGCTGAAACGCCCTTTAATATATTTTGCTGATTTTGTTTGTTTGTTTAAATGTTTGATCTACAGGATGACCGAGGACAGCTTTATATTTAAAAATGAAGCTCTAGCTCATAGATCAATTAAAGCTAGTAAAGCTAAGATCCAATGTCCAAGATCCAACTGGAGACCTATTACTTTACAAAATAGTGTTTATAAACTCTTGAGTGCAGATCTTGCTAACAGACTTAACCTCGTTCTGCCTTCCATCATAAATAAGGATCAATCAGGGTTTGTCAATGGTAGATATATAGGGGACTGCATACGCAACACCTTTGACATAATGGAATGGGCAAAAAATAAGAAGAAAACTGGGCTGCTTTTACTTATTGACTTTAAAAAAGCATATGATTCTATCTCATTTAAATTTATTGGCAATACTCTTCTTTATTTTGGATTTGGAAATAATTATATAAAATGGATTAACATTCTATTAAATAATTTTAAAGCTTGTATAAACCATGCAGGAAATATATCAGAGCTTTTTGATATCTCCAGAGGATGTAGACAAGGTGACCCTATTGCAGCAGCTCTTTTTGTATTGTCCATAGAAATTCTTTGCATTAAAATGAGAACGGATCAGAATATTAAGAGCTTTAAACTAGACACACTCGAAATACTTCTATCTCTTTATGCAGACGATTGTTCAATATTTCTAGAATATGACGCAAATAATCTTGAAAACACAATTACAGTTTTAGATGAGTTTTTCAAAGTATCAGGCCTACAAATACATCTTAATAAAACGCAATGTGTCGTCTTTGGGCTTATTCCTAATGGAGAGTATAAACTATGAAACCATATTTCAATACGCTGGGAACAAAATTTTAAGTTGCTGGGTATACAGTTTGATGGTTTACTTGAAAATATGGACGTTAATTATTATGAAAAGCTAAGGGAAAGTCGAGCAATTATGAAAAATTGGCAGTACAGATTCATAAGCCCTCTGGGGCGCGCATGCATAGCCAAAACACTATTACTATCTAAACTCTTTCACCTAGCTTTTGTACTACCCGGAATAAATAAGAAAAAACTAAAAGAAATTGAAACTGAAATATACACTTTTATCTGGGGGGGTCAAGAGAAAGTGGCCAGGGGTGATGCAAAACAACCTGAAAGTAGAGGGGGCTTGGGTTTTCCGGATATTTCTTCCAGTTGGACTTCTTTCAAATTTTCATGATTCAGAAGACTGGTGCATAGCCATTCAGCATGGAAAGATATCTTTAGTTTAAACATTCAAGAAAATTTTAATCTTAATTTAGATGATTTTTGTTCAAATGTAGGAACAGTAGACTATGACAAAATGAGTAAAAAACTGTCAAATCCTTTCTGGAGCGAATGCTTACGTTCAATTAAACCTCTCATGCTGGAGCACCTAAAAAACGCTCCTGAAAATCTCACCTCGTATCCTATCTGGGGTTCAAACGTATTTATTGTGAACTCGGCTATTTGCTCAAAAATTAACTTTGGCAATGTTGGAAGACTAGTCCGCTACCCAGCTGATATCCTTATTGAAACTGTAAACGGTACTAGATTTATGCTGGAGGACGAATTTTCCAACAAGTTCAATGAACCACCCGATTTATTTTCATTTATTTAAATGAAACATGTAATAAGATCTGCATTACTAAGATTGGGGGTTACAGTAGAAAGTTTACCTCTAATTTACCCTATTTTGCCACCAATGCTTAACTTGATTTCTTACTCATCTAAAGGATGCAACAAATGGTCAAAACTTTTGAAGTCACTCGAATATTCTAACAGTAATCTTTTATTGAGAGAACGTAAATGGGAGGAAGAACTGGAAGCAGTGCAAGGTATTCACTTTTGGGAGAAATGCTACGAATTGAATAAAAATCTTTTTTTTGACAATAGACTAAAATGGTTCCAATACCAAGTTACTCGAGGCACCTTGAAAACAAATAGGATTATCTCAAAATTTATAAATAATGTCGGTGAGAATTGCACATTCTGTGGAATCCATGTAGAGAGCATTTCTCATCTCTTATATGACTGCACCCTAGTGCGATCTTTTATCTCAGAAGTCTATGATTTCTTTACTCAAATATGGGCAGGAATTCGCATGGTACCTAGCAAAAAGGACTTTATCTTTGGTGAGCGTAATTTGCCTGTACATTCTCCTAATAATTTACTGGCACTTTACACCAAACTCTTTATCTGGAGGTTCAGATGCTTAAAAAAGACTTTAACTATTAATGCTTTTTACTCTTGGTTTAAAAATGAGATTTATATTAACAAAATGGCATTTGAAAAAGATAAACGTTTAAATTACTTAAATGAAGACTCTTTTAATTTGGATTTACAAGCCCATCCTTAAAATGCTACTTCCTATACTTATCATTTTAAAACCTGTACTACTAATATTGCAATATTTTTGAGATTTATAATCAGCCTTTTCCTGGTATTAATCCTACATATATTACAGATGGAGCTGAGTATCTCGGTTTACAAGCACCCTAATCCGCAGACAAAAGAGAGGACGAGCTCCATGTTTAAGCTACCTGACCTCAGCAGCCCCCCACCATCGATTCCTCCAGGTTACGGAACCTCACTTTACCCAGGAGAGAATCTGGATCCGAACAGTTCCCCGGAGAAAATACTGGAAGAGATAAGTAGAAAAAGAAAATCTACGGAGCTTGCTACTTTCGTTAAATCCAAAGTCAAGAATTACAGAGATATCAGGAAGAAAAATTTTCATCTTGGAAAGAAATACTGCAGCATATGTTCCGAATATTCTTCCTCTGTCTTTTCACAAAGCCAGGTCATCTTCCACAATCATAATTCTTCAAAATCCCTGCGAATGTCCTCCAAGAAGGTGGGGAGTTTATCCATGTTCCTCTTGCAAGACTCAACTCCATTCGTTCAAGACTGGTATCCGACATCCGGTACTGGTGACTTCCAGTCTACTGAATAACTGGCAGGGAGATAGAAGTGTAAATGAATACCCAGGAGACGACATCCATGTAGATATGATTGGTATACCAGGAGGCACCGTAAGGATTCTCCATCACGCATTTATGGCAGAGTTCAGTTCCAGCTCCACCACGGTTGATGTTCTGGTTGTAGGAACGGTCAACGATGTAATGAGAGGTAAAGATGCACCAAAGATCATCCGAGATCTAAGAAAATTCAAGAATGATGTTCTCTCTATGAAGACTCAAGCAGGAGAGAACTTAACCACGGCGATCCTAGGCTTATATCCTTCAAGGCTCCCACTTTTCATACCTGGGGACTCAAAACTAAGAAACTAGATCCTTCCTTCTATGGGCCCCGAAACCTAATGGAAATATGTACCAAGTACAGAGATCCACAATTGAGAGAGAAGATCTACACCGAGATGGTTCACCTAAACGACAGCTCCAGACTGAGGATGGGTAAGGCGGTGCTGATGTTTTTCAAGGTTCTATACGGAATAGTCGAATCAAAAGATATTCCGAAAGTTCTAGCTCTAGAGATCGAAAAGAAGGAAAGGGAAAGCAGGAAGAGAAAGCACTATGACAGATAGATCAAAGCGCTAGAAACCAACAATCAATGATCTACAGAACGAAAACGTGATATTGGTGAACTATCCTCTTCTATTTCTTGGATGGAATTCCGAGTGTAGCAAAAGCTCAAGTTAATCCAAATTTATTGGAATTCTTCCGACATTTAAGCCTCCAATTTTAATGCTTAAAATGAATTTCGAGATCTTCAGAATTTTGAGTTTTTCTAAACTTTGAGTTTACAAAAATTTATCTGAAGTTGTCCTTTTTTTTAAACTTTCATTTCTTTTTCTTAAATTGAATTTCGGGTCTTAAATTGAATTTCGAGTTTATCAAAAATCTCCAGGTTCTAATAAGTTTAACCTTAAAAAGAAACAATGGTGCAAAGCTATTGGATCTACAATTACCGCTCTATACGCAGGCGCTTTATTTTTATGGTGCAAAGCTATAACGCTATGTTGATGTTGCAGAACTATATTTTTCTTTCAAATGATTTTAACTCTATAAAAGAAACAATAGTGCAAAGCTGCTGTTTCTCCAATAACATCTCTCTCGGCAATTGTCGCTATCCGTCTCATTTTTACACTTTTTCGTTTTTGTATTTTATTAATATTTACCGATATATTTCTTGTTGTTTTCTTCAGCACATTTTATAAAATCGAATAAAAATCAAAATGTACATATCGATAATATATATATAAGGTTTATTGTCATTTGCTCTGTACCATTTTGATCAATAAATAGATTTGAATAATAATAAGATCCAATGTCCCCAGCCACCAAAGTTCAGGTTCAGGTTCATTTGATAAACTATATAAACATTCTAAATTGGTTACCTATCCAAAGAACATATAAACGAGAAGTTTTTTCCTTTTCATGTATTGTACATTTCTCTGTATTTTCTTGTTTTCTAATTTTTTCTTATAATCTTAGACGAGATGTCTTTTTCTACTTTATTCTAAAAGAGAGGTCTTTTTATTTTCATGTAAAATATTCCATGTCTCAGTGTTGTTAAGTTTTTACTAGGGGGCCGAGCGCTGCGGCCAGGACACGCCTACAATTTCAACCATTTTCTACAAAATCGTATATATTTAGGGTTAGGTTAGGTTTAAACACGTTCTGGGCCGAGCGCTGCGGCTAAAACAGGCTAAGGGGGCGGCCGAGCGCAAGTATACTTAAGCATAACGATAAAAAATTGCCCTATACTAAAAATATGTGTTACGAAACTTATTATTGTTTACGCAATCAAAAATTCCAAACAAAATGATTTAACTGAATCATTTTTTCTCTTTATCATTTGTAACACAAATTTAAAACATTACTAGATTTAAAATTATCACTTTAAATTAACAATAATGCCATAAATCGTTGTTTTCATAACTTTTGTTCCTAATGATAGGAATCAGCTGATAGTAAATTCTTGACAAGGAGGCGGGAAATCTTCTAACTGCGCATGTGTTGGCTGTCGCAGTGTCGCAGCTTAATGAATCAAAAAATCAAATTTTAGTTTTTTCTCGTGTTTTTGTGATTATCTATAATTTCAAGCAAAAGAAGAAGAAATAAATCACTTATTACTGAATAAAGATCATAGTTTTGTTTATGATAATGTGCAAAATTATTAAATTAAAAATGTAAACAAAATGTTTAATAATTTAACGCGGCAAAAAAAACACAAACAGCAGGGGCCTTCTCAACATAAAGCCAAAAACACAATGTTTTTGTTTGAAAATAAAGGCCGGGTCAAGAGTCCCTTAATAGCACTCTTAACTAATCCTGGTTGGTAGGATCATCTACCCTACGCGTTCATAAGTTGTGCTAATACCGGTATTAACAGAAATGCCAGTTTTACTAAGAGCGGTGTTAACTAATCTACCCGCAGGGTAGATTTAGGTAGGATGATCTACCCTAAATAACCAGTTCTACCAGTATTAATTTGGTTTGGATTCGATATTCTCGCAACCTCATGAAATACAGGGATGTTTAAAATACAGGGATGCATAAAAAGCGAAGAAATACTTCTTAATTCAGAAAAATGACCCCTCCCCCACCCTCCTTACATAACTATATTAATAAAATGTGTTGAATATAAAAAAAAACATTTTATGAGCAAAACTTTATTAAAGATTTTTTTTCTAAAAAATATATCTTATTGAAAAGTTTTTATTTTTTTAACTTTGATAATGAAATGTAAAAAGTTTAGTTTGCAAGATATTTTCATAAATTTTTAATCTATCTTTCGTCATATAATAAAAAATGTATTATTTAAAAGTCGTCTTTATAATTATTAACAAATTATTAAGTTGAGAAGAGAAAAGAGTTGCGCAGAAGAGTCAAAACGGTAAAGTTTGGATGATAATCCTGGTTTTAGCTAGGATGACTTATGAACGCATCAGCTGTTCTAGGCTAGATAATCCTGCCACAAATTAGGCAGCATTAGCGACTTATGAATCCGTATTTCCTAAACACCGGTGTTAGTGTTAAGAGTGGTATTAGAGCGGTATTAGCTAATACCGCTCTTAAGATACCGGACTCTTGACCCGGCCATAAGGCACAAAGACCAACAAAATGAGACAAAAGAGTAAAAAATTATCTCTTTGCAGTTTTTCAGTCCATTATTTTCTTTAATTTCGTATAATTCAAGGCAAAGCAAGGTTTTAGCTTTGTTTGTAAACAAATTTGATTTATTGATTGTTCTGCCTCCTTAACATAAGATCGCGGCATTTTGACAAAATTACGCAGAGAACTTTTACGCAAGCTTTGTACATTAAAATTTTTGGAAACGTTGCAATCAAATCAAATCAAGACATGTCAAAATAATTTATCAGCTTGTAATTTTACGTTTTACAGATTTCAATGATGATTGATTTATTTTGAGCCGTGTATTTAGTGAAATTTGCAACAATAATGGACGATTCCTCATCAGGTTTGATTTTAATATATAGGGAGGTAATTTCCTAGAGAGCGATTTTTGGACCCGCCCCCCAGGGCCCCCCCCCCTCCTATCAATTTTGTACATGGATCTTAAATGTAAGAGGATCTTAAATGTAAGACATCTGGCTCTAGCGCTCGGCCCAGACAAAGTGTCTTAACTTAACTTAACCCGTGGCCGCAGCGCTCGGCCCCCTAGCCTGTCCTAGCCGCAGCGCTCGGCCCAGAAAGTGTCTTAACCTAACCTAACCCTAAATAAAAGAAAGTGTCATAACTTAACCTAACCCGTGGCCGCACCGCTCGGCCCCCTAGCCTGTCCTAGCCGCAGCGCTCGGCCCAGAAAGTGTCTTAACCTAACCATAACCCTAAATAAAAAAAAGTGTCATAACTTAACCTAACCCGTGGCCGCAGCGCTCGGCCCAGAAAGTGTCTTAACCCAACCTAACCCTAAATAATAAAAAAAAAATAATAAATTTGCTGAAAAATATGTGGTCATGTACAAAATTGATATGAGGAGGTGGCGGGGGGGGGGGTCCAAAAATCGTATACTAGAACGGACCTTATAGGGAGGACCAGAAACTGTAGAATAGGAAGACGACATAAAAGCACAACTTGTTTCAATAATTTAAAGCATACAATGTTGTTTCAAAGCAATTAGCTTCACTATTAGGTTATTATCTAGAGGTTTATAGGTTTCTGAAATATGAATTTTTTTTTGACTAATTTTGAATATTCCAGGCGATATCTGTCGTGTGTGTCGGTGTGAAGGGACCCCTGACAGACCCCTGTTCCATCCTTGTATTTGTACAGGAAGCATCAAGTTCATACATCAGGAGTGCCTCGTTCAATGGTTGAGGTAAAACTTTATCCGTTTAGACCCCCCCCCCTCCACTTCCTCTTCTAAAAAATGTAAATCATATTTCCATATCGCAGCGCCCACAAATCTCTCGAATCGACTCAACCTTATAAGAATAAAACTTTTCCTATCACATTAACATTTGACTTTTGTCCTGGATCAAATTCGTAATGGCTCTCTTTAAACATCCTTCAACGTTCAACGCGAGTTATAATTGCATTTCGATTCTTTTAAAATCTACAGTAAATTTGATAAAGCCTTTTCATCACCTTAGTTGAGTGAATTTTGGTTTAATTTCAAGAAAAGTTATGATTTGCTTAGTTTAAAACGTTGAATTATCTAAATCTTATAATTAAGAGATTGTTTAAATCAATTAATTTATTGTTTTATAGTATTTGTTAACGTAGCTGAAAAGTCCTTTAAAATTTTCGTTATATGTCCGATTTACAACTAGACCATTTTGTAAAGCAACTTTCACTTTAAATTACGGACACTCCCTATAAATATCGTTTTGTTCAGATATTCGAAAAAAGAGTTTTGCGAGCTTTGTAATTATAGATTCTCATTTACACCAAGTAAGTTTTATTTAGTTTTATATATATATATATTAAGGATAAGATGATTTTTTTTCTACGAGATTCGACCATTACAATTTCTTTCTGTTTTCTAAATGTATTCTTTGATTTTTTCGTTTTATTCTTTTTTTTATCGATTTATTCTTGTATGTTTTCTTTTATATTCTGTAATAATTGTGTTCTTATTCTTGCTTTAAATTCATTTATACTTCGCTACTATTTATCTTTTTTAAATCTAATATATTTTTTGTTTTTATCTTGTTTTACTCTTCTATTTGTTCTTGTTTTATTATTGTTATTAAACTTATTAATATTATTTTAGTGTTTTTCTTGTGTTATTCTAATATGTTTTTTTTAACCAGTGCTTAGGGTCCATGTTTTCCTCTTTTTTGCTGAAACATGATGAACCTTAGAGAGATACGGAAATTTTTAATAATATCTAGTTTTCAACAGGATTTGCGTTTTGAGAGCACAAGAATTTTTTGTTGTTTTTTTACCCGTGGATCCGCATATTTTTTGCGGATCCTGATCCAGGAGGCCAAAATGTTGCAGATCCAACGGAATAAGATCCTAAGCACAGTTGTTAACTATTCTTGTTTTAAATGCTATTTTTTCTATTCTAGTATATTCCCCTGATATGCCTAAACGTATTCCTATCCGCCTGGTATTCTCTGGTGTCCTGGGAACTGTTATGAAGGCTGTCAAGTTCTGGTTGCATTACACCCTCGTAGCAGCAGCCTGGCTCGGAGTGGTAAGTCCTATGGTATATGTTTTCCTGAAACATCATTAACTCCCCCCCCCCCCCACTCTCTTTTGAAAATTATTTTTATTCGCTAAACTGTGGAAAATGAACGATTTTTATGGGTAAATAAACAAAATTTTGGGTTAAAAGTTTGTAAAAAATTTGCAAAGTTTAACAAAAGTAAACTTTTGATTAAACACAGTGTTTAGGATCCATTTAGTTTGATCCGGATTCTGGATCCGCATTGCAAAATAAATGGATCCGGATCTAAATCATGAACATTTATGTAAGATTTGCTGATTTTTGGGATAGAAGAAGAATTTTCGAATTGTTTTTCTTACTTTTTTTTCACTAGATGAATCATTTAAAGTTAAGAGCTTTTTTCAACTGTTCAGATTTGAGTTTTGAGATCAAAAGATTTTTTTGTAGTTGGTCCATATTTTGCCCTTTGATCTGGATCCGCGGATCCGCATATTTTTGCGGATCCGGATCAAGGAAGCTAAAATGTCGCGGATCCTAAGAACTGCTGTGATACAGTTTTTAAATCCGGCAAGTTTTACTGAAGTCTTATAAAGAGTTTTAAAAAACAAACCAAGACTAAACTAAAAAAGTTAAATGCATTTTAAAATATTTGTTAAAAAACATTTTCTGTGATTTTTATTCAAGTTACTTTTATATTTTGTCACTAGGTTCCATTGACAGCTTGTAGAATATATAGAACCCTGTTTACTGGATCAGTTTCTTCTATATTTTCTCTTCCAGTTAGCGTGTTCACTACGTAAGTATTTTTTTAATTATTATAAAAATCATCATCATTATTAGTCTTGTGTCATGTTTCATCTAATCAGTTCTGTTGTTCTTTCAACGAGAATTATTAATAATAATTGCAATAAAAATCTTAAAAAGAAAATTTAAAAACCAATTTTTTAATTGAAGTCTGAATTCATATTCATTATATCAATTTACATAAGTTGTAAAAATAAATGCTTGATTATGTTGATAATTTGATTAAGATATCAGTTTGTCTTGATAAAATAGAAAATTATTGCATGAACAAGTAAATGTTTTAGTAATTGATTTAATTTTGTTTTATTTTAGAGATAATATTGTAGCTGATATCCTATTGGGTTCTGCTGTGGTTACCCTTACCCTTCTCACCTTTATTGGTAACTTGCTTTTTTAGTCTATGTTTAGCCCCAGCGTATTCATCAGTTCCCTCAAAAGAAATCAGCTCATTCGGTCAAGCCGTTTGGCCCAGCTATAGCTAATATATAAATATTTATACATACAAGAGCGAAGAACTTTATAACATGGATTACCTGAATATTTTGGGCAGTTGCCCAAAGGGGTTACGTGCTCTTGCCGTATTGAATTACAAGAAAGAGATAAATTACTATATATTTTACAGTTAGGTTTAGACACTTTCTGGGCCCCGAGCGCTGCGGCTAGGACAGGTTAGGGGGTCGAGAGCTGCGGATAGAACAGACTCTCTCTCTGTCTTATATTTCAACGGGGCATGCGCACGTAACGCCTTTGCGCTTCTGACAACATTTTGAGATTGAGACAGGGTTGTATATTTTCTTGAAATTAAATGTTTTCTTCCATTTTCTATTTTTGTTGTTCAGGTTTGGTTTGGTTAAGAGAACAGATATTGCACGGGGGTGGACCTGCTTGGTTAGAGGCAGAAGCAGCTGTTCCGCTAGAACCGGTTCCTAACCTACCTCATGTACCAGGTAAAATCCGCGACTTATCCAAATTCAAAATGGCGGTTCCGGCAATTTTTTAGATTCTAAAATTTTCTGTTGCGTGTTAATGATAGTGTTTAAAGTGTAATGATAAATGTATAATATATTAATTACATTGACCCTGGAGATGCTTAAACATGAAAAATTTGCTCTGGGAACTCTCATATTGTGGAAATCGAGATCAATGCTTCATTGTGCTCAGTCAGGGGTTCAAGGGAGATTTGATCAAGGAAGGAATAACTGAAATGAAAGAATAAGAATTGATCCTTGTAAATTAGAAGTGTCCATGGTGGATATCGAAATCAAGCGATCAGGATTATGAAATATGAGTATCCAGCTCAAAAGTTCCCGGATCTGGAAAAAGAAAACGTCGGAATATTTTTTTGCGAAGAATACTTGTCAATAGTTTGTACATAAAATGAAGTTTTAAGTTCTGTAATGAACATTTTAAATCTGTAAAAGGATTATTTTATTTCTTTTTAGCTGTTGGTGAGGAGGCGCTGGAGGGCGAGGAAGATGGGGGGTGGAACCCACCCCTAGGAGGAGACAACCTACCCGTTGAGCCCCCTGCCCCTGAGATCCAGGATCCTGCTGGAGAGGGTGAGGAGCAGCAGTGGAATCCAATGGAGTGGGATAGGGCAGCTGAGGAGCTCACATGGGAGCGTTTGCTGGGTAAAAATTATAACGAAAATTATAAGATTTCTTTTTATCTTTTCTGCAATTGGTTTCTCTAGTATTTATGTCATTAAAAGGTGTTATTAAGAATGTTTTTCTGAAAAGTAGCAATTAATTCCTTTTTTAATTTGTTCTTTTAGAGTTTTTTTAATGTCTTTTCTGTATAAACTAAGAAAGCTTCGTTTATTCCTAGACTATTTCCCTTGAAAGTGTATACTGTAAATCTAGGTTGTATTCCGGATTATCTAGGTTATATTCCTAGATGTATCCCTTGTATTCCTGGAGCATGTATTCTGGGTTGTATCTCTGTATATCTAGGTCTAGATGGATCCCTTGTATTCCTGGAGCATGTATTCTGGGTTGTATCCCTGTATATCTAGGTCTAGATGGATCCCTTGTATTCCTGGAGCATGTATTCTGGGTTGTATCCCTGTATATCTAGGTCTAGATGGATCCCTTTATTCCTGGAGCTTGTATTCTGGGTATCTGGTCTGGTTTTCATTTTCATTTTGTTATTTTGTTTTGATCACTATGGTTGTTAACTGTATGATCATCAATGTTTGACATTGATCTCTATTCAGGGATTATTGATCACTATGGTTGGATACTGCATGATCGGCCTGTGTTTGATAGTATTCCACACAGTCACATGTTTCCTGGGATTCAGAAAGGTGTCACGTGCACTTGGGCTCTGCTACGTCGTTGTCAAGGTAAAATATTTGGAATCTCTTGATAGTATTTGATAATTCACAATAATTGAGAAAATCATTTTTTATAATTTAATAAATTGTCAATTAAACAATGAATAATGAATATACAAAATAATCAATTACCAAAAAATCGATCTTTCCTACCAAATCAGTAATTAATCTGCCTTTTTGCGCTATGTTAATTCTGAAAGCAAAAAATGGCAGACCACATTTTAGAACTGGTAGGACTGGGCTATTTATGATTAGGTTTTCCAACATGAATGCCGTTAACTATTTATAAAGTCAAAAACGATTTGAATTCTTCAATCAATTAATATTAATTCCGGCTTATTTAGAACATCACTGTACCATACACCATTTTTTAACCAATTACTCATTAATTTTTATATCGATTATCATACATTTAAATTAGAAATAATTCTTCCAAACGTTCTATCAATTTACCTATAGATTTATGTAATACTTTGATTACTTATCTATCTGCCAAATAAGTTATCAAGTAGAGAAACAAAAATATATTAATGAATGTATTTAATAATTTCCTAGGTTGCTCTACTACTAGTAGCTGAGATTCTAGTATTTCCTGTACTCTGTGGTTGGTGGCTAGATATCTGCAGTCTTTCTCTTTTTGATGCTACACTCAAGGATAGGTAGGAATACAAGGATAGGTAGGAATACAAGGATAGGTAGGAATACAAGGATAGGTAGAAATACAAGGATAGGTAGGAATACAAGGATAGGTAGAAATACAAGAATAGGTAGGAATACAAGGATAGGTAGAAATACAAGGATAGGTAGGCTTACAAGGATAGGTAGATATATAAGAATAGGTAGGAATACAAGGAAAGGTTGGAATACAAGGAAAGGTAGGAGTACTAGGATGTGTAGGAATACAACAATGGGTAGGAAGGAATACAAGGATTGGTTGGAATACATGGATAGGTAGGAATACAAGGAAAGGTTGGAATACAAGGAAAGGTAGGAGTACTAGGATGTGTAGGAATACAACAATGGGTAGGAATACAAGGATAGGTAGGAATACTAGGATAGTAGTTTTTCCTTCTCTTTCCTTTTCTTTACTTTGCTTCTCTTTCGCTTAACCTTCCTTCCTTTTTCCTAAAATTTCCTTTGCTTTCCATTCTTTTCTCTTTCATCCGTATTTCTCTTTTCTTCCGTTTCCTTCGCTTCTTCTTCTTCTTTTTCTTGCCTTGTTATGTTTTTTTGAATATATCAATGTTGGCCAACTGAAATGTTGTTATTTTAGGTTTACCTCGTTCACGTCCACCCCGTGGGCCAGCGTGTTTATTCACTGGTTGGTCGGGATGGTCTACGTCTTCTACTTCGCCTCCTTCGTTATTTTGCTGAGGGAGGTCCTTCGGCCAGGGGTTCTCTGGTTCCTCAGGAACCTAAATGATCCAGACTTTAACCCCATCCAGGTAGGTGGGGACCATAATAGGGGTTCTCTGGTTCCTCAGGAACCTAAATGATCCAGACGTTAACCCAATCCAGGTAGGTGGGGATCAAATAAAGGGTTCTCTGTTTCCTCAGAAACTTAAATGATCCAGACTTTAACCCTATACAGGTGGGAGGGGATCAAATCAAGGGTTCTCTGGTTCCTCAGGAGCCTAAATAATCCATACTGTAACCCTATCCAGGTGGGTGGGGATTAAATCAAGGGTTCTCTGGTTCCTCAGGAACCTAAATGATCCAGACTTTAACCCTATCCAGGTGGGTGTGGATCAGGTATGGGGTTTATTTAATTCTAAGATTAATTTAGGGTTAACATTTCATACTTCAGTGCTGACGGGTCAGGTCACTTGTTTTTTCTAAGGCCACTTAGTTGACAAATGAGGATCATTGCTAAATAAATAAGTGTACAGTTTACACTCTACACTAAATGAATGAATTGCTAATATTTTAGATATTTGTCAAATTTTCAAAACTTTCGGAGGTGGTAAAATGTTCTCAATCTTGAAAATCAAATTTCAAATGAGTCTTGGTCCTTATTTGTTGTTTTTTTTCGGACAGAATGATAGTTGATTTTCTGATTGATTTGATTTGATGTTTGATTAATTGATAGAATTATATGTATTTGATTAATTAATTCATATATTGGTGAATATGTGATTCATTGATAAAATTTTAAAGATATGATTGTTTGAAATTTTTGATCAATTTAATAATATCATTTATTACTCGTAGGAGATGATTCATTTGCCCCTGATCAGACATATCCGTCGGTTCTGTGCCAGCCTAGTCATGTTTGGTTCCAGTATCTTCGTTATGCTCTACTGTCCATCTAGGTATATAGTCATGTTCGGTTCCAGTTACTTCGTTATGCTCTACTGTCCATCTAGGTATATAGTCATGTTCGGTGCCAGTATCCTCGTTTGTGCTCTACTCTCCATGTAGGTATATAGTCATATTCGGCTCAAGTATCTTCATTATGCTCTACTGTCCATCTAGGTATATAGTCATGTTTGGTTCTAGTATCTTCATTATGCTCTACTGTCCCTCCAGGTATATAGTCATGTTCGGTTCCAGTATCTTCGTTATGCTCTACTGTCCCTCCAGGTATATAGTCATGTTTGGTGCCAGTATCCTCCTTATGCTCTACTGTCCATCTAGGTATATAGTCATGTTCGGTTCCAGTATCTTCGTTATGCTCTACTGTCCATCTAGATATAAAGTCATGTTCGGTTCCAGTATCTTCGTTATGCTCCACTGTCTCTCCAGGTATATAGTCATGTTCGGTGTTTGTATCTTCGTTATGCTCTACTGTCCCTCCAAGTATATGGTCATGTTCAGTGTTAGTATCTTCGTTATGCTCTACTGCCTATCCAGGTATATATAAATATAGACATGTTCGGTTCTAGTATCTTCGTTATGCTCTACTGTCCATCCAGGTATATAGTCATGTTCGGCTCAAGTATCTTTATTATAATTCTGTAAGACAAGAACACATTTAATGCATTTATTCCGTGACAAATGCAAAGCTTTTTACAGTTATGTATAAGATTACAGTATTACAGTATTAGAATAAAGATGCTTCCTTTTAAATGTGTCAAATGAAATTAAAATGTACAGTTGTTGTCGCAAATATCAATACAATAAAGACGACTTTTGATTTCAATTTTGATGCGTATGAAGCTGTTCAGCAGTATGGATACAAATAAACATGGAAGTCAAGAGAAGCTGCCAATTAAAAAAGCTTCATTTTGATTACTTTTTATCTTGTAATCCGTAAAAAAAAATCAACCTAAATGAACAATTCGTCTTCATTGTATTGATATAATCACCTACCACTGTAGTAAAATTAAATATTGAAGAATAAAAATATTGTAGAATAATCAAGAGTCTGCTCCCCTCCTTCCTCCCATACACCACACAAACCAACGAGGGAAGTGTAGATGAGATATCAATGGAACTATTGCTACTACTAGTCTTCCTACCTGCCATACAGGTTGGTTAGTTGCTTGGTTCCTTGGTTTTGACGCGGTAGTTGCTTGGATGATTGACTAATTTTGGTTGGTTGATAGGTTTGTTGATTGGTTGGTTGTTTAATTGTTCAATTGTCTAATTTGTTTGTTTTGTAGGATCAAAACCATACTCGTGAATGGTTGAAATGGTTTGTTCAGCAGTGGTGTACTTTGGTTTCCTGGATACTAGATATAAGATCATACATGTTCGGTGACGTACCATTACAGGTCATTATCATCCATTCATTTAATTCATTCACTATTTATTTATTTACATATTCATCCTTTGTTTACATTAATTCTTCCATCCTTTCCTGTTTTAATTCTTCCTTTATTTATTCACATATTTATTCATCCTTATTTATCCTTTCTTTACATTAATTCTTCCATCCTTTTTTGGCTTTAATTCTTCCTTTCATTCATTCATATATTCATATTTTATTTATTCACATATTCATACATCCTCACTCATCCTTTCTTTACATTAATTCTTTCATCCTTTCTTGTTTTAATTCTTCCTTTCATTCATTCAAATATTCATTCATCCTTATATTCACATATTCATCCTTACATTCACATATTCAATCTTATAATTAACTACATAGTCATTTATCCGATATTCATCCTTCTGTAGGTCCTTCCTTTCAACTTGTCATTCATTTATCAATTGTGAAACAAATTATCATTCAATCGTCAATACATCCCAGATTTTCTGTAGTTTTAATTTTTCTTGTTGGTTTCGAAACCATATTGTGATATATATATATTGGAATCTAGGGTGAGGGTGGTGCTGAAGTTGATGGTGTAGAACATCCGGCAGAAGAAGATGAAGCAGATGAGTTTCATCAAGCTCCTAGAGAACAGGAGGATGCAGAGGAGGAACAGCGAGGTCTAGGAGCAGCACATCAGGTACAACCAGGTCTAGGAGCAGCACATCAGGTAAAACCAGGTCTAGGAGAAGAACATCAGGTACAACCAGGTCTAGGAGCAGCGCATCAGGTAAAACAAAGGTCTAGGATTAGCACATCAGGTACAACCAGACCTAGGAGCAGCACATCAGGTACAACTAGGTCTAGGAGCAGCACATCAGGTACAACCAGGTCTAGGAGCAGCACATCTGGTACAACTAGGTCTAGGAGCAGCACATCAGGTACAGCCAGGTCTAGGAGCAGCATATCAGGTACAACCAGGTCTAGGAGCAGCACATCAGGGAAAACCAGGTCTAGGAGCAACACATCAGGTACAACCAGGTCTAGGAGCAGCACATCAGGTACAACCAGGTCTAGGATTAGCACATCAGGTACAACCAGATCTAGGAAGCAGCACATCAGGTACAACCAGGAGATATTATTCAGTTAATGTGTGATTTCAAGTGAAACTCCATTTAATGGCATGTGAGATTCACAACGGTGCCCTTTGTCTTTCTGTTAATTGAAATAAAAACACAAGGGGAAATCTGTAAGAATTTACCAATTTTGTAGAAAGAAAAACGACAATATCTTTCTTGTTGTTCTTCAGATTTAAGTTTATCGGGTACCGTTGTGAATCAGGCATGCCACTTAGCATAAAGAGGTTTACTTGAAATTATGTCTTCACTCCACAGTCTTCTTGTTCAGCCATTTTTTTATTCAAACAATAAGTAGTAAGAAGCATTTGTTATCCTTATTTTTGTTTATTTTAGGCTTTGTTGATTCGAGATGGTCCAATTGGTTTCCAGCCCTACATCAGACCCAGGTATTTAGAAGTATTCGGATCCAAGATCAGAGTCCAATAATCTTCAAATGACGGATTGCTTTGTGATTGTTAAAAGATAATAACAATAATAATGATGATGAATGTTATCAGCATTCTTTATTTAAGCTTTCTTCTTTATTTGCTTGAGAAAAAAAAACTTGTCCTTTCGGAAGGTTTAGTAGTTATACTAGTTGTTTTTTTCGTTAGTTGGGTTTTATTTGTATATATAAATTATATTGTGTGTTTGTATCCAATAAACGTCAAAACGGCTGAACCGATCGGGCCCAAATTTGACCCCAGGGAATGTTTATGATTGCTAAGAATTACAAAAATGTTTACGAAAATCCACGAAAACAAAATTGTAAATGCGCAAAAAATGTTATTGTTTCATGGAAGAGAATAGCTGAAAGATCGAGCAACATTTTAACAAGTTAAAAAGGATAAAGCCTGGTTACTTTAAAATAAAAAATGTAAATGGTCAATCGGTAATATGACTATTGCTTTGGTGGAAAGGTCTTAATCTACTTTTTTTCTAGATATTTTGGTGCTCGTATCTCCGCTCTGCTAAGTTTAATGGTTTTGTCCTGGTTGGTGATATCATTATTTACCATAGTAGTTCCAGTCTGGATAGGACGACAGGTTGGTGTAGATAAGACAGGTATTTGTTAGATTATAGTGGACGATAGGAAACCAAACGTAAACGAAACAAACGGTATCAAGAAAAAAACAGAAGGAAATAGCGAGAAACTAATATAAAACCAAACCAACGCCCAAAAACGGTCCCGATTCAAAAATAACGAACCTAAACGGACATAACAAACGAAGCGAAACGAAACAAAACGAAACGAAACGAAATGAAACAAAATGAAACAAAACGAAACAAAAAGAAACGAAACGAAACGAAATGAAATGAAACATAACGAAACAAAACGAAACAAAAAGAAACGAAACGAAATGAAATGAAATGAAACAAAACGAAACGACCAAACCAAACCAAACGAAAGATAAAAAAAGAAACAAACTGTCAGTACACATGAAAGAATTTCTATTGATCAGTAGAGCAGTAGCTTTGTTTACAGGATGGTTAAGACAGGTATTTGTTAGATTATAGTGGACGATAGGAAACCAAACGTAAACGAAACAAACGGTATCAAGAAAAAAACAGAAGGAAATAGCGTGAAACTAATATAAAACCAAGCCAACGCCCAAAAACGGCCCCGATACAAAAATAACAAACCTAAACGGACATAACAAACGATACGAAACGAAACAACCGAATCAAACCAAACCAAACCAAACGAAAGATAAAGATAAAGAAACAAACTGTCAGTACACATGAAAGAATTTCTATTGATCAAACGTAGCGAGAAACGAAAGTTAAACAAAACCTAACACCAAAAACGAAGTCGAAACGGGAAAACTTCGTTAAATAAAGAAACTTAATTAATCAATTAAAAATAAAACTGAAAGAAACCATATTATAAAAGAGATTAATTTTTAATAAGGATGAAAAAATTTCTTTTATCTAGGGTTGGACAGCGTTCGGCCAAAAGATGAAGGAATGGGCGATAATCGGCGGAAAGGCGGTGTTAGCCTTCATCCTACTCTTGGACCTGATCCCCTTCATGTTCGGAGTCCTGCTGGACCTGGTGGTTCTCACCCCGGTCAGAGTTCCTCTTCATCAGTCCCCGATATACTTCCTCTGGCAGGTTAGCACCTCGTGTACAGTTGTACAGTGTAAAATAAAGTTCTTCTATGTACATGATGTACACTAAAAATAGTGCAGATCCATTTCATTTGATCCGGATTCAAATCCAAAAAAAATACTTCCAAGTTTTCTTACTATTTTTCCCGTTAAATTTTATTATAAACTTCATTACGAAGCTTAGGTTTTGTTGTTCATAAGTTAACATTAAATTTGCGTTTTAAGCAAAAAAAAGAATTCGATATCCTTATTATTTTTTAACATTCTTAATCCGATTAAGCTTGAAGGGTACCGTTGTAAAACGGGCATGGAGCGCTTACAATTAATTAAATTTAACTTTAAATTAAGTCGACAGGCTTTAGAAAATTGTACTTACTTAATACTATTTATGTATAGGACTGGTTTCTTGGCTTGATGTACACCAAGATCACAGTTGCTCTCACATTTATGGGTCCGGACTGGTGGCTCAAACTAAGCATTGAACAACTTTACCAAGATGGAATCCGAAATATGAATTTGACCAACGTTATCATGGTAAATACCTTTTTAATCTTATTTGCTTAAATAGGTTTTTCTAAATTCTAATGAAAACTTGCCAACTTTTCTTAAAATTAATAACAAATTCAAAGTTTAAAATCTTGGAAAATGTTTTTTCACAAATGTGGGAAATTGTTTCAGAATCTTGTTGTACCATGTGTAACAAGACTTGGCCTGGCTCTGGCTGTTCCGTACGTAATCTCACACGGCATTCTTCCTCTAGTCCTTACAGATACTCACATACTTATCAATGTACAAAGAAGGTAAAAAAAAAATAACATTTTTTTCCATATTGAACTAATCAAATTTTTGTTTAGAATTTATCCTTTCTTGCTTTTGACGTTGTTGTTTGTGTTCCTCTTGGTTTTACAGTTCAAACAGATCACCAAGCTTATAGAGCACATCAAAAATGACAGGTATGTTGATTTTTTATATGTTTCTATGGTTAAAGAAAAAATCGCTGATTTGGGAAAACGAACTGAATTTTTGGGTTTAAAAAGAATGAAAAAATTTGCCTTTTGATGTGTCCAATTTCTCATTTTTGCCCCGTAAATCATCAAAAATAATTTTCTGAAAAATGTACAGTTTACACCCCTGAAAAAAATGTAATGTACATAGCAGTGCAATAGCTCCGATTCTGGACCCAAATAAAATGTACATATTGTACACTGTGAAAACAATATTAAAAATTAATTATTTTTCACTAATATTGAAAGTTATTATTTTATTTAAAGGTATCTTGTTGGAAGACGACTTGTCAATTATAATCACAAAATATCTACCGAGGCTACTTCATGATAACGCAACAACAACAATAACCATCATGAGTTGAATATCTAGAACTATTGAGAAGAAAGAAGTCAGACTGTATAATTTACATGAAGGGGACGGTCAGAAACTTTAGAAAATCTAGGAAACTAAAAACTTTGTACATTCAAAGTAGTTTCTATAGCTATTTTATAATATTGAACAATGATATATTAATGCATATACCCAGGGGTTAAAGGATATAATTTTAAAAAAAATGAATATTTATGTGAGTTTTATGATTTGTACAATGTACAACCGTAAGACGTGTCGATTATTATGCAGGGCTTAGACGCATTGTGATTATTGTCTGGATGAATCCAAATTATGGTTACCAGTTTATATTCTACAATTTCCCAGTCTTTTTTCACACTTTTTTCAATGCAATTAAATCATTTTTCTGCTTTTTATTAAATGGTTTTAATATTTCAGATTTTAGGGCTTTTTTCTCAAATTTTACAACTTTTCTCACAAAAATTTCAATATTCTGAAGTTTTGTTTTTATTAATTTATTTAATGAACCCCAAATAACATTGGTATGGTTGGTGGAAAAGGTTTATAAGAAAATTTATGTTTACCATTACATCGAGGCTAGTTTTTGAGATTTTTTATTATATTCCGATATTGTACCAAATCATTCATTCTTACACGTTTAATTGTCTTCTTATTAATTTGTATTATTATTCTCCTTTAGCGACATTTTGAGGAAACGTATAAACATTGCTCTACAGTTTATTTTATTGCAATAAATTAGTTCTCTGATAACTTCCACTTTAAGGGATTGTTCAGATTTTAAGATATATTGCGAGGTAGCAATTTTTTTTCCAGAGATAATTCTTAAGATTAGTTGGGAACCTAGCTTTCACTGACAAACAAACAAACAGAGATAATTGCTTTATAAGTATTCAATTCTTAACAACAATATTACTGGTTTTTTCATATTTTTTTGTCTTTTTTCCTATTAGGTTTTGGCAATAGATGCTAACTGAGCACACAGTTAGAGAACTATCATCCCCCCCTGGATACAGCCCTTTAAGTGTGATAAAATGAATTGTTCTATGAATATTGAATACTAGTGAAGTCCATATTCATTAAAAATTTTATTTCCTTGAAAATGGCATATATTATATTATTAGATGTGGTATATGTATTAGCGCTACTTATATTAAAAAAATCTGCAAAAGCCATGCGATACTTAGAGCCGAAAATTTAGTACATTTCTTCATTTTTAAGAAAATTTATATGACAATTGAAGCAATGAAATTTTTTTATTTTAGCATCAAAAAAATGTTTTCATAACAAAATTCTTGAGCCGGTTATTTTTTTTAGATTTGGATCAGCAACGCTTAAATTTCACGTTGCGTACATTTTTTAAAAATACATTCCATTGGACCGTAATTAGTAATGATAAGATTCTAAATTATTTTAAGTATTAACCCCCACATGAGTTTTGATTAATGGGTGGGGG